GGGTGGCTCAGTTGGTTGGACAACTGCCTTCGGCTCAGGTCATGATCCTGGAGTCCCGGGATTGAGTTCCGCATCGGACTCCCGGCTCCACGGGGAGTCTGCTTCTCTCTCTGACCTTCTCCTCGCTCATGCTCTCTCTCACTCTCTCTCAAATAAATAAATAAAATCTTAAAAAAAAAAAAAAAAGATTTTACTTATTTTTTAGAGAGAGTGCACAAGCAGGGGGTTTGGCAGAGGGAGAGGCAGAGGGAGAAGCAGACTCCCCAATGAGCAGGGAAGCCCGAATTGGGGCTTGATCCCAGGATCCTGGGATCATGACCTGACCCAAAGGCAGACGTTTAACTGACTGAGCCATCTAGGCATCCTAAGCACACATTTTCTGAGTAGATATTTGTTTACAAAAATATTTAAAAGCATTCTTGGGTTTTATCCCCTGTAAGTGAAATGCAGTGATTACAGCAAGTTGAGATTAGCTTTAAGGAGTTGTGTGTCTCAGTTCCTCAGTTCATAGGACTGGGTTTTGAGGGCATGTTAGAACACAATTGAAGACTGAGAGCAGATTGTTAATTTGTCTTTATGATGTCCTGATGCGTGAAGCCAAAAAGTAGGAGTAAATTCCAGATGAAGAGGATGCTTCTATGAGCAGTTCTGGTTGTGGAGGGAATAAAAGTAAATCATTCTGTGGGTGAAAAGCTTTTATACTTTATTTCAAGTATTCAAGTGCACTAAAGGATACTTTGACTTACATTGGATGGATAGCTTTGCAATTTTCCATAAAGCTTAGGTCAGGGTTTCTCAACCTTGGTAAGCTTGGTTTCTGAACTATGGACATTGTGGATTAGATAATTTTTGTTGTGAGGGGCTCTTCTGTGCATTCTGTGTATAAATACCATCCCTGGCCTCTAGGTGCCAGGAGTCCCTTCCCACCACCTCCCCCAATTGTGACAACTAAAAATGCCTTCGGACATTGCCTAATATGTCCCCTGGGGACCAAAATTGCCTTCGGTTGAGAACCACTTGTTGAAGTCATCCTTAAAGAACTAGAAAAATGATATAATTTTATGACAAAAAAAATTAGTCACATTTTATTTAGTTTGGAGAAAAGCCAGAATGGGTGAGTGGGGGTGCCCTTTTCTCCTTCATCAACGCAAGTCGTGTCTCCCCCCCACCCCCGCTGGATGGCATGGGGCAGCATGGTTTGTGAGCAGTCATTGAAGTACACCCGATCGCTGACTGGCGATGGAAAGGAAGGGGGCATTAGAGCCGTATGTAAAGACGGACGAGGATGAGGATGTTTTTATTTGATTTTTCTTTTGGTCTCCAGGTTTGATTTCATTCTTGATAATGTCGGTGGATCCACTGAAACATGGGCTTTAAATTTTCTCAAGAAATGGTCAGGAGCCACATATGTGACTCTGGTGACCCCTTTTCTCCTGAACATGGACCGACTGGGCATCGCAGACGGCATGCTGCAGACAGGAGTCACCGTGGGTTCTAAGGCATTGAAGGTAGGGAGGAGAGTCCTGGTTGGTGAGAGCAAGCGGTGCCTCCTGCTTTTGGAAACTGGTTTCCCTCTAGCCAGTTTCTTCTGTCTTGGAGCAGCATCGCACAGTGGCTGCAGTGTGGGTTCTGGAGTCGCACACTGACCAAATTCAAATTCTGGTCTCCACTTAGTAGCTGTGTAACTTGCAAGTTACTTCGTGTCACTAAGCCCTGAAGTCTTTACCTCCAAGATGACACTAATAGGGTATCTTCCTTATTGCATGTCGTAGGATTAAATGAGGTAATCCACGTAAAGAATTTAGTCTAATGTCTGGTACATAAAACTTACTAAATATTCACCTTTATTATTAGCAGTTACCTCTCTTGATTCCATGTGATATATCTCTGCTTCTTTCTTGCCTCTACCTGGTGGTCTTGGCTCTCTTTCACCAGCCTTAACACATACAGGCTCTCATGTGTGAGCGCGGAGGCTTTATTAAGACCAGGTAGAGCCAGCTGTTTTCGTGGTAGCCGCATTGGGACGTGCCAGTGATTTCTAGCCCGGGTCCTCCAGACCTGTAGAGGTCCGTGGGCATTTTTTTTGAATTTCAAAACCTGAAAGGAAATTGTGTTCTTACTTTAGTAAGACCACAAAGGCAAATAGAACCATCATGCTTTTTCTAGTATTCTATCAACTTGTCCTAACACTGCACATCCCTTGTGAATCAGACACTCGAGCTGTTGATGGCATTCTGGGTGTTTCTGAGACTCAGTTAGTCTGCCTGACTCTGCTGACTGCGGCCCCAGTTACCAGAGCTAGAAGGAGCTCCATCCGCAGCCGGGCAAAGGCAGTGTGTGGTGGGCCTTGAGGACGAGCGCACAGCAGCCACGGCTGCAAGGACGACAGCAGAGCCTGAGCGCGCGCTTTTGTCCTTGCGGTGGGGACAGGCTTAGATCGTTTCATGTTATCCACTCTTGGCAATTCTAGATCATCGGCTTGAAATCTGTATTAGCGTTGAAACGGTGTAAGTGATAGGCAAAAAAAAAAAAAAAGATAAATTCTATTTTTTAAAAAATTAGACAAAGTTCTTCAGAGTCAGGAAAAAGACTGGAAGTTTCCTCAGTGGGTAAAAAGGTTGTGAGTCATTATGCCAAGCTAACCAACACCTATCGATCTGTATGTCTGGAAGGAACCACTCGGTGACTACCTTCAGCATTAGAAATTAACTTGGGACCTTTTTGAGGGTGAAATTTAGGACTTTGGCCTCTTGAATTGCATGGACTAACTAAATACTTAGAGGGCTGTGACAGTGGAGACCACCGCACCATTCTTAGGAAGGGTGTATGTTGCTAGAGGTGAACAAACCAGGCCCTGTACTCGAGGTTCTTGATTTTCATCTGATTTAGGCAGCAACCGGAAGCAGTGGCCACAGGGCACTTTGGTGCGGAGAAAGGCTTCTTAGCTGTCCTTTGTCTCTTCTTTCTCTTTTCAGAAAACCCAGGCTTCAAAATATAAGTTTAACTTTTCTTTAAGATTTCATAGTTTGTACTTCAGTGAGACCTCTTACAAGTTAACCTTCTGAGTTGTCCTCTGAGAGTAAAACAGGCATCTTCTCTTTCCTCCTACTTGAAAGAGGATAGTGGTAATCTCATGTGAAAACCTTTTAAGTAGTTTCTGATGTCTTTCTGAGAATGTGCACAGTTTAAAGCCTCATTGTAATGCTCCAGACTCCCGCCTGCTTTGGTTTACTTTCTCCTGTAATGGCCCGGAAAAAATACACAGGCCCCTTAGAGCAGAGTATAAAAATTCTGCTGTTGCCGACCAAAAAGTTTCACTTTACAGGGCAACACGCTATAAAGAATTATAGACATGGCATTTTTGACCATTGCTGTTCTTTTCTTTAAAACCCTGAACAGTTACCAGAATGTTCTAATTGTCAGAGGCCAGGCCTTAGGGAGAAGTACACAGACAGGTCTTTTGTGATTGTAATTATTCGGGCTTGCTGTATGCTTGGGTTGCCTCAGTGCCTTCAAATGGTACTTTTTTTCCTTTTGTTTTTTAATTTCATTTGCCCAGAGCAGTGCCTCCCAACCTCTTTCCTGCTGTGACACCCATAGAAAATTGTTCATGTTTGAATAGAGGTTGAGGCTGTTCTGGGCTGAGAGCGATCTATCCGATCTATCCGGAGACTTCTGCCAGCCCAGGCTCTGTGTTGCTACCCTGTGGGCTGAGGGGACTCAACCTCCTCACACCTAATCTAGGGTGAGATTGGCTCTGTTTGCAGCTGTGGTCCTGGCATAATTATTAATGATGACTCCTCTAACTCTCAGAACTGTTCCAGGTTAGATAATAAATTACAGGGCCACTCATCCAAACCAGTAAGCCATTCCTGGTACAACCATTGCAAAGTTCTGCCCAGAGAGCAGCTTGGTTATGTCTGTCTTCCTACGATCTGAAACTCATATTTGGTGCCCCAGCCTTTCCTCAATAAAGTTTGTTTCCAGCACTAGATAAGTATTATTTATTTATTTATTTATTTTGAAAGGTTTTATTTATTTATTTGACAGAGATCACAAGTAGGCAGAGAGAGAGGAAGGAAAGCAGGCTCCCTGCTGAGCAGAGAGCCTGATGCGAGGTTCGATCCCAGGACCCTGAGATCATGACCTGAGTGGAAGGCAGAGGCTTTAACCCACTGAGCCACCCAGGCACCCCTAGATAAGTATTTATTGAATAATAAATATAAATATTTATACAGGTGATACTTTCTATGTATCAGGCACTTTGCATTCATTCTCATTTACTCCTTCCAACAACCCCGTGAGCAAGGTAGTGGTCTCACCATTCTTTAGGCCAGGAAACTGGCTGAAAGAGGCAGCTTGACCTAAAAACACAGCTGTTGAGCGCCTGAGCTAGAGTAGCAGGGGAGTTCCCTTGCACTTGACCGCTGTATGCCCCTCATGCTGAGGGATTGTGAGACAGGCAGGTGCAGGGAGGGAGGCCGCATGGTTCTGGCAAACCCCATGCCTCTGGATAGCTCCCATCTGGTGAAGGTGAGTCGGGCAGGTCATGGAGGTATGTATCCTGGAGAACCTCAGTTCAGTTGTTCCTTTGATAATGGCCTGGCCTACTTTTGACAGAAAGACTAACAATTGAAAGTGGGTATGGCAGTAAAGTGGTCATGAGCCCTCTTGTAGAAGATTTTTGCTTATTTTTATCTGGAGACCTTTTGTCCCATAATAGATTCAGTGATGTGGGAGTTCGTTATACCTGTAGGGGGAAGACCCAACCATGATGCGAAAGGAATTTTACACTTTGTTTTACCCTTAAAGCCACTCTATTCCAGAAAAAAAAAAATCTGTGATCGGATTTCTTGTCTAAGATCATATTTTGGTGGTTTACTGCCCCCTAAGCATGCTTGAGTTAGGTTTAAAAGCTCTTCTCTGGTGCCTCCGAGCTTCATTTAAACCCTGGGAGAGAAAGCTGAGAGGTCTTAGCCTCTAATTTCTCCGAGGGAAGGAATTGAGTGTGTAAGACTATTTAGACTCTCATTTTAAGGACAGCTTTCCTGTGCTGACTTGCTTGTCATTCACAATTTGGTAAAAAAAAAAAAGCCCGCGTTCACGTGAATATATCTTTGTTCATTTATGAGTGTCCCCTCTGTTGGTCACTGTGCTGAGGTGTTGGGCATAGAGCTCATTGTTTCATAATGAGGAGGAAATTGGTTTGTCTGTCTTAATCGCCCAGAAAATACTTTTACCTAAATTTGCATTCCATGAGATTTTCTCCTTTTTTGTATTTGATGTGTTTTCTTTTCTTCTTTTTAGCATTTCTGGCAAGGAGTCCATTATCGCTGGGCCTTTTTCATGGCCAGCGGCGTGTATCTAGACGATATCGCGAAACTGGTGGATGAGGGAAAGGTAAGTGCGGGCGCTCGGATTGCTGGAGCAGCCCTTGGAGGCTTGGCCACCCACCCACCAAGTCTAGTCTGCGGGAGCTCTCTTTTGGGCCAGGTGTGGTCCATGCACATGCTGTTGTCCACGGCTAAGTTTAAGTGCTGTATTTTGGTTCTGTCTCCATGGGAATCCTAGTCCTAGACGGCTACATCTGAAAAAGAGCCCATACCATCTGGTTCAGCCCTCTTAGTTTATAGGCGAAGGGGCAGGTCCAGAGAGCTAATGTGATTTTCTAAAACACACTTAGACGGTTCGCAGAGCCGGCATTTACAGCTGGGCTGCTGAGATTTTGGTAATGGTCCTGAAAAGAAGGCACCACCAAGGTAATGTCTGCACAGAGGTCCAGACACACTTGTGAGTTAACAGAACTGCTCCGGAGCATCTAGAGTTCAAGGGTGAAGCTGCTCTGGAGGGAACCAGATTTCCAGAGGAGCCCGGTGAACAAATACTCTGGAATCTCAACTCACACAGTACTGCGCCAGGACTCGGGTCCCCAGGTCTCCTGTTCGCCAGCTAGTGTAACCCACCTGGAGGGCAGATAATGGTACATCTGAGGTCTGTCGGAGAGGGTCGGTGGGACGTCGGAGAGGACTCTTGGAGATCTTGGTGGGGGCCACTGGTCAGTGTTTCTGACGGCTCGCGTCTGTCCTGCATGGACTCTGTGGGGAAAGGACTGCTGATTGTAGTTGGATCATCCCTTTTTGGCTGTCAGAAGGCCTTTCAGACCACTGTTTAGTTTGGTTTTTCATGGTCTTAACAGCCCTGGCATTCTCTCTCTGGAAGAATAACCTGGAAGGAAAATTCCTAGTCTGGTGCTGATGTTTATGATTTTATTAAGAGACTGTATGAAATTATAGGGTAGAGACCCTTACAGGCCATAGAAGGTTGCCTGAGGTTGTAGGTAAAATGATTCTCATTTTACAGATGAGAAAACAGGCTAGGGGGAGAAAGGGACATGTTCAAGTTGCAGGAGTGGGACCAGGATGTGTACTTCCTGACTCCCAGCCCCGTGCTTTTCCCTCTCCAGCCTTCAGCTGCATCCTTAGTGCTGGAGGCTGATCTGGGGGCTTTAGCTTAAATTGTCTTGTCCTTGGCATTTTACGATGAACAGGGAAAGGGGATGGAGTAGGGCTGGCTTTGCCACCGTGTGATCCATACAGGGCCACTTGGAAAGAGCTCCTTGAGATGAGCTTCCTTGTGCTGGCACCTGCCCCTTATGGCCCATTTCCTATTTCCACTCTAATTTTGGAAGGAAATGTCTTTAGGACCTACTGGCTGCTTTTTGTGCATTTAGGTTTTTTAAATTCTTTATAGCCACGGAACTATAGGATAGAAAATGGCCTGCTACCATTTGCTAAATTTTGTGGTTTCAAATTTGGGTGCCTTTTCTCAGACTTCTGAGTCTTAATGTGTCCCAGGTAGACGGTCTCGGCCTTATTGTGGCTGTTTGTAAATGTCTCTTTAAGGTTCTCACTTCCCATAGGATGCTTATTTTATTTCCAGGAAGAAGGAAGTGAGCTATCATTAAGTAACATGGCCCATAGTTTCACATGCTCTTTCCTGTGACTGGAGCCGCACCGTGAGAGATATCCCCACCCTCCAGCAGAATACTGTGCAGTCGTGCCGTTCCCAATCTCGGCTCCAGGCTGTCCACGGGCTTACCATGACTCTTTCGTATTCAAAATATTGGGACTCGCTCTCCTTCTACCCGGAAGTTACTATTTACGCAACAGAGAAGAGAGGAGACTTGTGTATATGTAACTATTAAATTTGGCAGATAACTGGCAGAATGGCCAGAAGAGGACAAGGTAGAAATAAAGATGCCCTTGATGTGTCCTCAGACGAGGGTGAGCGAGGGAATATTCTTTTGGCCTGGCCAGGGTTATCTGGGCCCAGCAGTCCCCTCTGACCGTGAAGGACTCCGGGACAGTGGGAGCTGCTGTGTTTGGGTGCCGTGAGCAGGCCAGCTATCTTCATGTGCGTCCTGACTCATTGTGGGTGCGGGAAGGTGCTGTCCACGCTGGGAAGCTATAGCAGATAACCAAGCACGTCAGCTTCTCTGGTGCGTGGCTTATAGAGATTATTAAATTGGATGAGGCATTGAGATTCTTCTAAGCTTTGGGTGAGCGCTTGGTGAGTAGCGGGTACCTGAGAGAGGAGCTCTGGTTATTTCTTGACAGTGTGAAGCCACGACCCAAAAGAACCTACTCCTCTGAAATACTTGAAGGTTCAAAATCGAAAAGATAGGAAAAGTTATTTCCTGAAATCTTTCTTTGACTCCTGTCCCTCAGTCACGGAGCTTGTCTTGTCAGACACAACCATTGTTAACCAGTTTCTCGGATGTTCCAGAGATGGTCTTTGTATCTCGAGGGCAGGGACAGAGAAGAATGACTTACAATCATCACACTGACTGGACTGGCCTGCTACCAGAATTGTGCCTTTTGCCTACAGTTATTTTTGCATTTTTCGTCCCTCAGCACAATAAACATTTCTTGTTTTCATACTGTGTAGCAGACTTTTTTTTGAGTTAGCACGTGCAGAGATTAGAAACCAGAAAACTTAGCGCATGTCTAGTTTTGCTACCTCCCCACACCCCCATCTTGTCTTCACGTCTCATGACAGCCCCATGAATCAAGTGACAAGTTCAAGGGCTCAGGTCTCTTGACTTCTAGGACAGTTCCTTCAACCACCATTTCTCTCTTTAAGAGTGAGGCAGTAATAGTTAAAGAAATAAATCCCTCATACAACCTTCATTGTTTTCTGCTTGCTTAAATAGCCACCTAAACATTTAGAAAGGTGGGGTTTGAATTCTATCCACAAAAATCTTCCTGTATTTTTCAGTGTCTTTCAGGCCTGAGAGGAGGCGGGAAGGCAGATTCTTTGGGCTAGAGTCAGCTACTGATAAGAATGACCAGGCTGTGAGGGAAGATATGCGTGCATATGTGCTTGTATGTGCATGCATTCCTTTCCTCTTGGTGCTATAGCCAGCTGCCATCAGTATGGTGGCTGGAAACCGTGCAAACTTACTCTCTTCTGGTGCTGGGGGCCAAGAGTCTAAAATGGGTCAGCAGGCTTGTGTTTCTTCTGGGGGTGGGCTGGAGGGGAGAACCTATTCCCTGGCCTTCTCCAGCTTCTAGAGACCACCTGTATTCTGGGTTCAGTCTTGAATGACTTTAACTTCAGCTTCCATCATCCTGTCTCCCTCCCTCCAACTGTCCTGTCTCCTCCTTCTTCTAATGACCCTCGTGATTACATTGGACCCATCTGGATAGCCATGCCCATCCCAAGATCCTGAACTTAATCATGTCTCTGAAGTCCCTTTTGCCCTATATGTTATCTTCACGGGTTTGGGGGATTAGAATGTGGACATCTCTGGGAGCCATTCTTCTGCCTCCCACAATGCATAAAGTATCTCAGAAGATATGAAGAAAACTTGAAATACTGGTTGTCCCAGAGGAGAACTAGATGGCTGGGCATCAAGTATGGGAGGGAGAGTTTTCCTTGTACCCTTTTGTCTTTTCAAGTATGTTTATCTGTATACATATGTTCTTCATGTAATTATGAAAGTCCTTTGATGTCATGTTCTTAACATTCACAGATCTGTTTAAGATCCTAGGTGACCAGCCAAGCTTCTCGGTTGAGCGATGATAGAGATGATCTCAGTTTCTTTCTTTCTTTTAGCCAGCATCAGAACAGTTCCTATGTAACTTTTTTGAATTTAATTTAAAACATTGACAGAGGGCCCACGAGCTTTGCCTAGTAGGGTGAAAGATGTAGAGAGATGGGTTGGCCACATTGAGTTACCTTCTGAGCCATGATGTCCACTGGAACTTCGTGCAGTAATTTTAATGTTCTCTGTCTGCGTGGTCCAGTATGGTAGCCAGAAGTCACATGTGGCAGTTGAACATGTGAGATGTGGCTAGTCCAACTGAGGGACTGAGTTTTCCATTTTTTTTTCCCCTTTGGTGAATGGAAGTAGCCCATGCAGCTGGAGGTCACCATTTCTGGGTGCTGCCGCTCTGGAGAAACAGGAAATAGAAGTTGGGAGGCAGGCAGTTTCCCAGGTCCTTCTTGAGATCTGAGGCCTCCCTTTAGCAATGAATTACGTTTTCAAACTTTGAGCTCCTTTGCAACTGGATTTTTTTCCTCTGTAGAGAGGATGTAATGATGAGGGATGGAAGGCCTGGGACTCAGACAGACACAACCGGGACCTCATGGATCCCATTGCCCTGATGCTGCTGCTGTTTTCTCTAGTGTTGCTGCTTGTTTCTGTGAGGAAATGTAGGTCAAGTTTCTCCTCGCACCTTCTGGCTGGAAGGAGTGCCTTTTTCAGGGGGACCTCGGGACAAGTCCCGGATGCTTTCCAGAATGGGCACATTTCCTCCCTTGGAGTGTGGCTTCCATTATACTCCCCCCACCCCCTTCTTACCACCTCTCTTCCAGCTTTGAGTTTTCTGGGGCCAGAAAGTCCCAGAAATAGCAAATTCAAGCAAAGCCCACTTCTTTCTTTTGTCTTCTCATAGCTCCTTAGTTGAAGCCCCCTTCTGCCTGGGAATACTGACCCTATCTCAGAGGTCAGGGGGCGTGCCTGTCTCGGAGGTGGTGCCACAGCTATGTCTCTGCCACCCCTGGCCTGGGTCCCTGGTGCCCGGCACATGTGTGTGGACTTGACCTTCTGCCAGGAGCCCTCAGGTCTACCTTGCATCTGTCACCTGTTCCTCTCCTTTCACACACCTCACCTTCACGGGTCTGCAGTTTCTGTGCCCAGTGGAGGTGGAGGTAGAGGGTCTGGGGAAGAGGGGGACAGACCGTGACTCACGCTTCTGTCCCCAGACTGTACCCAGGCCATGCAGTAGTGCAGTCAGTAGTCCTGGACCCCAGCTTTGCCTCTGCTGCTGGAAGCTCTCACCTGCACGTCCTCGGAGCCCTTGGCCACTCGCACTTTGGCTTCCTGATCTATCCAGCGGGCTCGTGCAGACACTTAGGGCTCTTTGAAGCTCTACCGTTTGCATCATTCTTGCTGGGCAAATGGGGATTGAGGGGAAATCTCTCTGCCTCCTGTTCTGCCTGCATAGATGGTGTCATCCCCACCCCTCTCCCGCAGAGGGGTTCTCTTCCCTCTTCCCTCGGAGCCGAGAAGGCGCGCCCCGCGGCTGGAAGCAACAGTAGCCTGTGGCCGCACCGGGGAAGTTGAGGGGCCCGTGGTCCCTGTGTTCTCATAGAAGGGACGCCTGGCAGCAGGCGCCAAGTCCCGGGGCCTGGCGTTACACAGCCTTCGTCTGAGAAGGTAAGGCACCGCCAGGAGGGCCCGAGTGGGGCCCGGGACCAGGACGAATGCCACTGCGGTGAGTGGCTCCCAGTCCGCACCGGCCCCAGGCCTCCGCGTCGCGGGAAGTGCCCTGCGCTGAGCCTGCCCGCTTTATAACGGGGCTCCCTGTGCCGGTCGGGCTCTAGCAGTGTCATCACATAATGTCCCCACCTCACTGTGAGTAACCTTTCTGTCCCCTCGCTGGATTTTACCTCTGATCTCTGTCCGTAGCAAACAGGCACTCTGGGTCTGGGGTGAGGCCCTGTGTAGACACTGCTTCATTGTCCAGTTAATCTCCGTTCAGCCGGCAGCGGGGTCTGCCTGCTTGTTAACAGAAAGCCTTCTTTTTTCATTGTCACTTACGGGAAGAGCTGAATGACTCATTCCGGGCCGTCAGCCCTCTGGGGTTATTCGCCACAATGGGCCTGACCGGCCAGATTGAAGTGTGTGGTCATCGCAGGCTGGCTGTGTCATCAGTTCGGGCTCCGGGGCTGCGGTCAGAGTTCTAACGTGAACAGAGCTGGACCAGCCTGGGCTGTTCATTCTCGAGTGGAGCAGGGGGCCTCTGGGTCCCTCCTCCCTGACCCTCTGTTAACACCGGGGCTGGGGTGCTCTCGTTACCGGTGTTCACAGCTCAGTGAGAAGTGGATGTCATTGCCTCCTTTCTTTCCTTGGTTTATCCTGGGCGGCCTGTGCCATGTATCTGCTCTGGGTCGGTGCCTGGCACTTAGAAGGCAACACCTGGTCAGTCCTTGTGGGATGAATGAGTGTGTATCTGCTACGAGTCAGGGACCCGAAGATGAAGGCAGAAAGCTGCAGTGATGCCCACGCCAGTGTGCAGTAAACTCTCCTGGAAGGCTTCCAGAAAATGCATGGTCTCCACCCCAGCCCCTAGAGATTCTGATCCAGTTGTTCTAACCAGAGACCAAGGACTCTGCATTTTCAGCATGCAAATTTAGGTGATTCCTTTTAGGTAATTAGCATCCAAAAAACAATGTCTTGGGGGCTTTTAAGGGAGTAATGGGTTCGGGAAGTTTCCTGCAGGGTGTACGGAAAACAGCTTTAGTGCATTCTGTATTTACCAGAGAAGGCAGGTAGGTTTCATTGGATGGATCAGCTCCGATGTGTTCATAGCAGCTGTGGTGTGGAAGATTCTAAGGTCATGCTTAGCTTGCCGGGGAGGGGACGACCGTGGTTAATAATCAGTGAGGCCAGGTGCAGATGGGAGTGGGGGGCCTGTGCTGTGCACCTGCTGTCTGGGGAGCCCGGAGACTGGGTGCTCAGCTGGCATGGTCTCAGCACAGGGCAGGCCAGCCAAGATGCACACTGTGATAAATCATTACAATCCTTGGCTGCCGTTCCTCCTCTTTCAATTTCGGGATTGGATGTAGAAAGCAACCTGAGATACCTGACAGACCCGGGTGGGGGGTGGTGAGAGCACAGACTGGGGGCACAGGTGTGTTAAATTGGGTGACTTTTTTCACTCTGTGCCCTAGTTTCCTCTTCTGTAAATGCAAATGGTAAGAGTACCTCCCTGCTAGGGATGAAGCGAGGGGAGAGGCAGTGAGCAGTCGGGAGATCTCTTGGCACATAGGACCGTGCGTGTCAGTCGTTACTGCTCCTTGGAGCTTACTGTGATTTGTGGGCCGAGAATTTTGAACTCTCTGGAGAAGGGAACTTTTGGAGTCAGAGGCACTCTTCTCGTGACGGGGCTGTGCAATTCACACAAGAGGAGGGTACGTAGCGAGCCTCTGAGCCTGCCAAGGACACACTTTCCTCTTGTGAAAGGAGAAGGGTCTTGAAATGTAGGCATGAGCTCGGGCCTTCTCAGGACGTCTCCCTGTCCGTGGAGCTGCGGGAGGCAGGCCGCCGGAGTACCCAGGGGACAATTAGAGATGTTCACTTGTAGCTTTGAAGAAGAATCGTTCTGTTGGATTTCTGCGTCTGGAGAGGGTGCTAACTGGGACCCACGTTCAAAAGGCAGCACTAGTGGTGCAGGAGCAAGAACCAGCAGCATTCCAGCCCTTGAGCCGGCTGAGGTGGCCGTCCCGTAAGTTCTAACCAGCCGCTCGGCCAGTTAGCAAGCCCCCCAGGACAGGTTCTCCTGAAACCCAGAGAGACCACGTAAGACTTGCTTCCCAGTTATCTTACTGGTTTTCACCAAGTGACATCTCTCAAGCTCCTGTCCTGTGCTCTGGTTGCGCTGAGCTTTGGGGGTGGGGTGCGGGTCCCGGAGAGGCAGCCTGGACCACAGGTACTCAGACTGTGGCTGAGTAGATCTGCCGGACATTTAACGGATTCTTTTTAGAATCTGTACGTGGCCTACAAGGGGCCTACAGAGATCCAGCCAGCAAAAGCTCGGGTGGCCCCTTTTGATGTTCACCCTACATGACAGGGTGGCTAAGCTGTGTGTGTCGTTGGCCAGCTAGGTCCCGAGCAGTCCCGAGAGAACACACTGCAGACTGGAGGCTCAGACAGGGTATGAGAGACTTGGCCTGGGAGGGTGGGAGTTGGCAGAGCGACAGACATAGCACGTTCAGGCAATAAGTAGGCCGCTTCAGTAAAGCGTGGGGGCCACACAAGGGCCAAAGTGGGGAGGTGGCGGCCTTGGAATGTCTGGGAGCTGTGGAAGGGCTCTACGTAGGAGAGTGACACAGCCAGCACAGAAGACAGACTTGAGCGATGGCTAGGGCCACCTCAAGGACATGCAGTGAGGCGGGAGAAGAGACCCCGGGTTGGGCGGGGCGTGTGTGTGTGTGTGTGTGTGTGTGTGTGTGTGTGTGTGTGTGGCAGGGGCCTGGCATGTGGTCAGCATCTCACCTAGGTGCACATGACTTGGAGGGACAATGAGGACATCAGGGACAGATCCACCTTGAAAACCTGCATCTTTCCTCCCCACCGGTCAACTTCTTGTGTTTTACAGATTCAACCCGTTATTGAAAAAACGTTTCCTTTTTCTCAAGTTCCAGAAGCCTTCCTGAAGGTGGAAAGAGGACATGCAAGAGGAAAGACCGTAATTAATGTCATTTAAATAAACACTCAGTGTGGTGATTGTTGGCTCTCTTATTTGGTGATTGCCTCTCGGCCCAGACATTTTTGTAACCGTTGCTTTCTTTCCAGATTAGATGATAAGTTCCATGATCCAAGTATAAAACGCCTTTCCTGCCAGTAATTTGTCTTCTGAACTGAGGACAGATGCATTTTCTACCCCCCTGCCCCCCACCCCCACCCCACTGTGTGCACATCGCCTCGCCCAGAGTGCCGTCTGGTACCTGCCCGGCATCCCCACGTTCCCGTTGCCGAGAGGTCCTCTGAGCCGAGCCGAGGGGACACACAGCGCAGGCTCTGCAAGTGTCCGCGCTTGGCCTGCCCTGTAAGCTGCACGGGGAAGACTACAGAGCTTTCTTCAAGCTGTTTTTTCACACCGGATTTTCCCATCATTGTATCATCTTCTGTTCCAGTGTAGCTCAGACTCTATTCAGGTGAGATGCTAGAACTTCTGGCACGGGGCTGGATGGCGGCGCGAAGAGCTTCGGTAAACCTTCTGGAAACCAGTGCTCCTGGAGGACTCCAGCTGGGCCCGGTTTCCTCTGCTCTGCTGGGGTCAGAGCCGCTCTCGGAGTTCTGAATCTCCTCTTAGGGTCACATACAAACTCTCATGATTTGGTTGTTGACTCTCAAGAAAATGAGCAGAGGCTACAGTTTCTAACTTTTTAAAACCCTTACATTTTGCCTAAGGGCTAGGCCTCTCTCAGCCATCGAAACATGCTTCTCTGAGGACCTTCTCCAGTTTCTGACTTTAAATGCCTGCACTTAGTGGTTTACCGAGAAGCCCAGTGCAGCTTTTGAATCTGTGACCCTCACTCAGGGTGTTTCTTCCTGGTGCTTTCCTCCTCCTCACCGTACCTCAGGCTTTGGACAAAGACTTGGTTAGTAACTTACTACTCAGTTTATTCCTGTCAGACACTCATTTGGTAAATGCGTTGGATGAGGGCTTCTCTCTGGAATCGCTGGTCTCACCACAGCCAGTATTTCACAAGAGAGAAAACGTGACTCTCGTCAGTACCTGCCACTGTGGACTTCATCTGAACAGTCTCGGCTCTTCTCCTGGCGGGCTCCCAGGTGGTACAGGGAGGGGGCAAAACTCTTGAGGGAGGACCTCACTTAGCCTCAGGTCCTCTCTCGGAAAGTGGAGCTTTCACCCCTGCCTTATTCCAGCACCTGAAACCTGTGTCTTCCTCGTCCATCAGCAGGTTCTAACCCTCACGTCCCCTCACTCGCTGTGACGCATTGTGACGCCACGGCAAGGACGCACTCAGATTCCTCTGTACGGTTAACCAGAAACAAGTTTATTCAAGAGAGAAATTCAACCCCGGCGACTGCAGGATGTCGGAGCCCCCGCACACTGTAGTGATCCGCACAAAGGCCGAAAGTCCCAGCTGGACATCTAAGAACAAGACAGACCTGCTGGCAGCTGGTGGACACGTGCAGACGTTTACTTTAAAACCGAAGCTAAGCTCCTGGCCACAACTGCCTCCCGAGACCGCAGGGCAGTGCGGAGAGGAGCAGCGTTAGCCCTGGAAAGACACTGGAACAGCTAGAAAGGAAGCGAGATTTGTCCCTCCTGGGATGAGAGCACCAGCATTAACGAGGCTAATGAAATAAGGACAAGAAGAGGAAGAGTATATGCGAAGAAGGTCAAGCAGTTTTGTTCAAAACCAGAAGGCACTGGTTGAATAGCACCGTGCGGACCAGTGTATTGTCAGTGGTTAAACTCTTTCATTTTTCCCTGAAATGCTGCATTTTAGGGTTTCCCGAGTTCTATGATTTGAACAAGCAATACTCCAGGCCTCCCTCCCTTCATGTGCTGGAGAGTTGCCAGTCATCCCCCCCTTGCCGCCTCCATCTCTCATGTCCGCTGCCGGGGTCTGAGGTGACAGGCCTGAGCTCAGCAAAGGCTCATAGGACATCACGTCAGAACGAACTGTAGATGAGCGGTAAACTGGGTCCCGGGAACGCTATTCCCGTGGCATCCGTGAGAAAAGCGTTAAATGACACTCGTTTGTGACATTTCAGGGCAGCCCATGAGTGGGTTAAAATCATCCAAATCCTGCTCACATTAGCGGACAGGACATGAAATCTTGTAAACTTACTAGCGTTCAATACTAACAAAAGGATAAGCCTTTCCCTACTTTGCTATAGAGCGTAATTTATGATTCCAGAAAACAGAGGAACCAAAATTAGTGGCCTGACACGTTATCTCTTCTCAGATGCTAAAACTCGAGCTTTTATCCTTCCCTTTAAAGTGTAAGGCATGGGTAGGCCCACAGAGTCTACTCGAAGTTTGTTCCTCTTCTGTCCTGTCACGATCTTTGGAAATAATTTAAAATGTACAGAGTCTTGATACAGCATTTTTGAAAACACCCAAAAGCTGCTAATGAGGCAACCTGTTAAGCAGCTACTGAAAGGAGATGAAAAGCAGGAGATGAAAGAAGGACAAATGGTTGGTTTAAAACTATTACAGTCTTTTGAAAAGATGAGACCGGAGTCCTGGTCACGGCAGTGTCATTCAGGGGCAGAGCTAGAGCTACTGAAGAAGGAGCAGGTCCCCTTTCCTCTTGGCTCTGTCCATTTTCAAGCAGCTCGAAGACCTCCAGAAGCATTCCTCCTGCGTTCTTCAGGGTTATAGGACCATGGCTTCCCACACTTGTGTTAACTTCTCTTTGCTGACAGTGTTGAGGATAATGTGATTTTGGTCGTACTGTGTACCCCCTGAAAGAAAGAAAAGGGAAATAAGGAGAGGAAATGTGCCTGTAGGAAACAAAGCCGAGAGGGTGATTCAGCTCTTGGTTGTGTTAAAATCCCATCCTGTGGGCACCAGCAACACACAGGATGTCCCACCTCCCAGGGTTCCTTTTCCTACTCAAGACGTGAGGTGTCTGAAGTTGGGGGGCGAGGGGTGGGGAGGTGGAAAAATCTAGAGAAGGGAAAACGAACAAAGATTGTGAAATATATTCAGTGATCGTGGATTTGCTATAACAGGCCCTGAAAGTAGTGGAAGGGTTGGCAGCTGGGACGGGTTTTGCATGAACAATGACAAATGGCTGTATTAGGGCAAAGGAGACGTTTGAAAGATGCCCAGTATGTGGACTGGGCGGCACGCCCACTCCTGGGAACGCACTGGGTATATAAAAATTCATAGCACTTGATCCTGAGTTTAACTGTACTTTTAAAATTAGTATTATTTAAACTCCCTTTCACCAGAATGTCTTCCAAGGTGCCTACTAGATAGACACGTGGGTGTGAAAAAACCTAGCCTCTTCCTTCCTTTCGGTGGAGAAGTATCATAAAGTGCCATCAGATTTTTTTTTTCCAGTGCGGACTAAATACGGTTTCAGCACCGTATCCTTTCTTAGCATAAGGCTCTGCATCGAGGTTCTATCACAGGGACTCCCAGAAATACAAATGTGCTCCTCTCGCGATGAGGCGGTGCAACTGGTATTGAAATCCTGCTGCATCCTCAAGCCAAGAAGAATGAAATGTTCTTACCCTTTTAAGCATTCATAAAATATCCGAAAGGTCTGATAACTTATGCTCTTCTTACAAGCAATCAGTTTATTGTCATTGGTGATCTGTTGGTTCTACACATCTAGGCGTAGCATAGGACACCGGAGCCAGATGTGTGTGTCGTGGGAAAAGTTACCACCACCAGCAAATCCACTGTCCCCACTGAGACATACACACTCGACTCCATTGAGATTTGGGGACGTATTAGGATCGCAGTGTCATTAATATGCACAAAAGAATGTTAAAATACCCTAATTTTAATTAGAATCACAAAGACTAGGAGGTCCTTGAGAAATCATCTGATTTCATTCTGCCTCTGGGGAGAAAGATCATCCCAAACTTCTAAAGCGAGAAGAAATCTGCTTCCATTGCTGTCCTAGGTCTGAAATAATACATGACATCTACCCAAACGCCTCCCTCCCCAGACACCAGGAGATACGTTCCAAGAAAGCCTCTTGGTCTGATCAATCTTAGGGCAATGGCAGCAGATAACAAAGGCTTCAACAGCTGTAGCTGATGAATCCGAGTCTCCTGGTAGGTTACCGGAGAGGTATTTCCCTTGCAGGGGTGGGGGCTGTGCGGCCCTACTCCCTCATGTCCACAAGATGGCGCCACTCTCCCACAGTCTGAGAAATTGAAATTCAGTTTAACAAGACAAGTGACTAGGGCAGCTACCCTACCTAGATGTACTGCGAGTTCACAAACATATAGAACCCTATCCTCATTCAACAAGCATTGGACATATTTATAGTGCATTTTAGGAACGGACCTTGGGGCTTTAAAGCAAAACCCTAAAGAGGAAGCTTCTAGAGTCCCACAGTTCTTGTCAGTCAAGACTCAAAGCTAGGTATCCTTACTCCTTGTCAAGTGCCAGTGTAGCAAGTGGGAAAAAGTCCTACATGCTTGGAGTTTCTATATCATAAACTCTCTGAAGCCAAGCTAGCATTTCCCTTCCCCTTTGGTACCCAGTGTCTAGCTAAGCGTCTACCACATAGTGGGTACCCAAGGAGACTAACCTTGACACAGGAAACGGAACACGTAAACATGAATCCAAATTTTCTAAAAACGATGTTTCCAATGTAGTCCCATTTCTTTGGTTTTGGAACTCTGTCTTGTAAGACCAAGGAGCTCTAGCTCAACAAGGTAATGCACGCAGATGCATGGGACTCTTCAACTATATTCACTGAGCTCAGAGCCTTTGTGATTTTTAGTCTATTATAATAAAACAAATGGTGTGAAATCAGCCTAGGTCCAGAGTTCAGCTCAGCACTTCCGGGTACAGGTCCATGATCGAGCACTCTGAGCCTCAGTCTTTGGGCTATAAAATGGGACCAGGGACAAGGGGGTAACCTCCCAGGGTCCCTGGGAAGAGGCTGTGAGCTAGAGGGCGTGTAGAGGGTTCTCAGTGGCTGGCCCACGGGAAGGGATCGCTTACTGCTAATAGTATGCACATTTGCACAAGCAAAAAATGTATTTTTAGTTAAGTATAGACACAACAGAGAAAATAAATGATTCTTACCTTTGACATCTAAAACTAAATTCGGTTTCAACTTGCTGTAGATCCTGCCGTCTGGTTTCATGCTCCAGAACTGACTGTCGGCATTCTGGTCGAGGGCAAGGCCCAGTTTCGAGCCAGAGGTCACGAGGCTCCCCACGATCGTCAGGCAGCAGTCTTCCGCTATCTGCTTAGGAATAAACAAGGCAGCTGAGGGACAGAGACACCTTCAGGGATCATGATCAGTTCTGGGCACAAACTGATTTTTAAAGTTGTCTTTGCTGTCTGTTTGCCCCACAGGAGGCATTTCAGCTTTAGCTGGAAAACTGGGATCAAATAACAAATACTTAAACCTTCACTTCAGGTGACACGAGTGCTGGAAAGTTCTCCGTTCTTGTCCCTTGTAAGATTTCTGCCCTTTGGGAGTCAGGGAAACCTCAGAACATTAACTCTCCCTTTCAGCAAGGACCATGATCAGAGGCAGGGGTCTACTGCTTTATCTCCCCTGACCTATAACCATCTCTGCTCAGCCTGACCCTTCTGGAATGTGACTGCATCTCTAATCTGAAAGGCTGTTGTAACAGTGAAATAGCTTAAAGGGCGTTTTATTATTTTAAAACTTGAAATTCCACCTACTCTTGTCTTCCCTTCGTAAGAGATGTCTAATAGAAATTTCCAAAAAGGCATGCTATCCAGCTATAAAAAGAGGAAGGAAAAAATACAAATGCAGTGGAGTGTTTTAATGCAAAGATTTTAAGGGTCCTTTTCTGATGTGAATCTACTGTGTTCACATGACGTTAACACATCCTCCTACAGAAAGTGCTTATGAAAAGCATACAGGTGATGAAAAGAGTGATAATCTAGGACACTGTTTCTCATTGACCTACCGAATTCACAGTTAACACCACTAAAATGTTTATTAGAAGTAATTAAAAGTAAGTGCTGAAAGGCCCTGTTTTCTTGAAGTGTTTAATTCAAAGACAGAAGTCGGCTTTTTTTATGCTTCTGTAGTTCAGCTGCTGCTGTGTCTCGTGCTTGCTTCTCTGCCTGTCTAAACACTACTGTTTGCTGAAAGGATGATTCTCCCTCAAGCACAAGAGACCCAATTAGCAGGTTGTGCTCCCTTCCACAGGGCTGTATGCCTTCTGCTGACTCATGGGGCACCCAGTTTTAAGAAAAAACCAGGAGCAAACAGTCAAGCTCATAAAATCAAGAAGGAGTTAAAAAGACTATCTACAGCAGAAGCGCGCGCTTCTCTAATAAAGTCGTATACTGTGTTCAACTTTACCAGATCTTATATGGCAGGAGTGATGCAAGAGGGAGACAAGCCATTTTCCATTTTACAAGGTATGACCATTGGGCAATGGGCTGTGTTGAACACAGGGTTGTAGGTCTTTGCCCTAGTCTGCAGGGTCTTCCAAAATAAACCAAGAATGAATTGCATTTACAGTGCTGGGGCTTACTGAAATAAGCCATGATAAGTAGATGAAGGATAAAGGGGAAAATAACACAGACAGTTCCTTCTAGTACTACATAAAAAAATCAGGTATGGATGTAAATGTTGCAGTCTGGATCACTGCTAGATTTACCCCCCATTTTAAGTTCCTCAATTGGTTTTATCAGCTAAAAAATATTTTCATGGAAAACCTCTTAATTTATTTCCGAAAGTGCTCCAGGAGGTGCAAAATAGCATCTACTTGAAGAAAAGAGGCCATGGCAAACCCTTTTCTAATCCTAAAAGCTCACCCTGCATTTGATGCACCCTTCTTGATAAATCCAAATCTGATCGTCGGCACCGACGTCCTCCATGACCTGTATTCGCAGAAGCTTCAGATCCTCCAGGTTTCCATTGGTGGACATGAACAGCCCCGTTGCTTTGTTTCGAAGTCGGAAATAAATTCGTTTCTGGAAGACAAAAGACCGCGGCGTGGTCATATAGAGGTAGCACCGTCGGGAGCACAGAGTAAGCACCGACAGCAGGAGGGGATCTGAGGGGATGCTGGACTAGGAATCACTGCTCCATCCTTCAGAGGCATCAGGATTTTCTCAAGGAATTTGTCAAAATTGCATGCCGGGGCCAGGGAGCGTGCAGACAGCCCACAGGCTGATCTTGGTGTGGTGGCATTTCCGAAAGCCATCACCGCCTCTTAGCACCAGAAACAGAGCCCAAATCCAAAGATTCAGGGGATGGGGAGGGGTGACCGATTTCATACTTAAACTAAAAAGCGGAGTTACATTTACAAAAAAAGAGAACGATTTCAGAGTACTCGAAACCTGGAGAGGGAAAACCCGTACCTGAACAAAAGGTCGTAGAGAACCTATTTGGCGACAGCCACTGAATTCGTACCAATTCGGGACTTCCGCTGGTGACAGTAGGAACTGCCGACCCCTGTAATTGCCATATTCGTAAGTAACCCATCTGGGGAAAAAGAAAACTGCAGTAAGTGGCAATATCCATTGGACATTTGGCCCTGATTATATTTATTTAACAGTGCTTCCCATTTTTTTTTTAAAGATTTTATTTACTTATTTGACAGACAGAGATCACAAGTAGGCAGAGAGGCAGGCAGAGAGAGAGAGAGAGGAGGAAGCAGGCTCCCTGCGGAGCAGAGAGCCCGACATGGGGCTCGATCCCAGGACCCTGGGATCATGACCTGAGCTGAAGGCAGAGGCTTTAACCCACTGAGCCACCCAGGTGCCCCAGTGCTTCCCATTTTTACACCGAGCTTTATACCTTAAATATACCTTGGGGGAGAAAAGAAAACTACCCTATTTTCTAAAACACTTAAAGTGCCCATTTCTTGGCAAGTAGGAAATTCTTGGTGCATGAGTATTTATGCCAAAAAGATCCATTCCTGAATAGAAACAGGTAAGTTTTTCCCTTTTATAAGGCAATGAAATATGGTCCTTTCCACAAGGCTGCCCTGTACTTCCTGTGAGGCTTTCATAAAACATTTTCAGTTGTAGTTTTTTTCAAGATTTTATTTATTTGAGAGAGCACTCGAAGGGGAACATGGGCAGAGCGAGAGGGAGAAGCAGACCCCTGCTGAGCAGGGAGCCCGATGCAGGACTCCATCCTGGGACCCCAGGATCTTGACCTGAGCCGAAGGCGGTTGCTTAAGCAGCTGAGCCACCCAGGCGCCCCTCCACACTGACCTTTAATCATTGTGCACAGCAGCCGCTAATAATTCCCAGGTAAAGGAAAATCCCGGTCCTTACTCCAAAGCCAAAGGACTCGGTCTTTCAAAGGGATAAGAAAAATCAGCTCCCTTTCTTACTTGCTAAAAAAGTGCTCAATATATTTACTGAGCACTGGTTTGCAGAGGATTCCCCTAGAAACTTGAGAGGAGCTAAAGACAAGTACTTGCCTTAAGTAAATTAAAAATCTGGATGAAGAGATAAAAACTACCTCACACATGGCTTTTCCCAATGGGAAAACTATACTATGAAGGTGCATAATTATTAACCCTTATAGAAAATAAGGGGATAAGAGGTTAAATTTCAGTTTGCTTAAGGTAGCATAGGAGAGAAAGAAATATAATCAAACCTAATTTTAAAAATCAAGTATTTTATTATATAAAAAGTAGGTAACTCACTTACATGCCACCAATCACCTGAACAGAGCGTATCTGTGTGTTGAATCCTAGGGATCGGAGATTAACTACTTCTGCATTAAGTTCAATCTTTTTTCCTTTGAAGTCTTCTCTTTCAAAAAGAATAATTGCTGGTTCAGAAAATTCCTGTCGAGGAACAAAAATAGAGTTCCATTACTCAGCTTTGATGAGAATTCGAACTCATACAGAAATATCTTGTTAAGGAAAAATCACAAGATCTGACCAGGCTTAGCCTGTCCTGAAGTCCCTTTCCCCAGAGGTCTGGGTGTACCCATACCCACAGCTAAGGAGAGGAAGGACAGAGTGGCAGGAAGGTTATCTACTGCATAGAAAGGTAGGCAAATACAATGGTGTTTTAGAGCAGGAGGTGTGGGGGGACATATCTTAGGCACAAAGGAATGGGTCTTTGAGTCATCAACACTTGTAATTTATTTTAAATTTTGTCATTTTGGTGGGGGAGGATAAGGAAGGGCTGGAGAGCCATGTATGTAAGGTCTAAGTTGGTGGCGGACTGGGGTCTAGCGGAACAGCGGTAATTACCTCATCAAGGAACCTTCCCCTCGTAAGCATTTTTCAAATGTCTTTTTTGTTTGTTTTAATTGTAAGACAACAGATTGTGTGTACTTGTGCTCCCAGGCTTTCCTGTAGGAATTATCGTTAGAAAGAGAGGGAAAAAAAAAACCCCAAAACCAGGGTGGAAGTCCCATGTTCAAGCCATCATTCATCTGAAAGAGGACAAGGGCACAGAAGTCCACTGATTTTCAGAAAATGAAAAGCTGGCGGCTCATACTTGTTTTTAAAATTATAGACCCTTCTGACCCCAGTCTAAGCCCTAATGATAATAATCCTAAGATCATAAATAATACATCAAAAATCTCCTCCCTGCTTAAAGTTTTGTGGTCAGGGTGTGGCAACTCATGGCTTCATTTATGTGGATGTGCCCTGACGTGCACGGAGATTCCATGGCGCAGTAAACAGAGCAGATGAGGGTGCAGAGGTGGTTTGTGCGGGGCAAGAATGAGGTTACATAAAAACGCAGAAGGAAACAACAGGAGTAGCAGAAGTGGCCTGAGCATGCGTGCCAAGTACTAGGGGAAGGAAGGCGTTTGAAAAATTGACAACTGAAATGGGTTTGTTTTGTTGTTTCTTAAATATATATTAGAGGCAGCTTTTAGAATTCTAGGCACGCTGGGGCGCCTGGGTGGCTCAGTGGGTTAAGCCTCTGCTTTCAGCTCAGGTCATGATCTCAGGGTCCTGGGATCGAGCCCCATGTCGGGCTCTCTGCTCAGCGGGGAGCCTGCTTCCCCCTCTCTGCCTGCCTGCTTCTCTGCCTACTTGTGGTTTCTCTCTGTCAAATAAATAAATAAAATATTTAAAAAAAAAAGAATTCTAGGCACGCTAAATATCCAAGTTTTCGATATTTGCTTATTTACAAGCTAATGCATCTTACATGTCATTCCATGTGTACTATTTTCACATCTCAAGAAAGGTCAACGTTTTAGTTATCTGAACAGGCAGGAAGGGAGGAGATCAAGCCATTTCGCATATGTTCTATTTTTAAAACTCAAGTCACCAACTACATATGTTTAAAGCTTTTTAGGAGAGATCAGCTACCAAAAAACAGACACATCTGGACGTGAACATCTGAGTATTATCTTGATGTTTTATTCTACTGAATATTGCTTTGGCTACATAAAAATGAAAGATTTCTGTTCAAAAAGGGACACTATCAGTTGAACTAGCAACGTACGTGATAAACTGGGAGAAGACGCGCGATTGCATGTCTCAAACAACAGAGCGCTAGATTTAAAAACCACGAGGACTTTCTGCCACTCAGTAGTGACAACAAAAGATAACAGGAGACTGAACAAGGGCTTGGCAAATGGTGTAAAACAGGCAGTTCACCGAACAGAAACCCCAAATGACTAATTAGTGTAGGAGATGCCGGTCCACTAAAAGTGAAACAACACAACGAGATGATACTTTTTGCCCAGTGTCTTCAAACCAACAGAAATGAGAGGATACCCAGTAATGGCAACAATGTAGAAAACAGGAACCCACAGCCTTGCTAGCAAAGATCTCAAGTAGTGGGATTCGGCCATACTTAGAGAAACTGCATATTCATGCGCGTGAAATCCAGCAAATCCACTCTTTTTAAATACACACGCCCAAGAGACTCTCACATAGGTCAATAGGGATATGTGTGAGGGGATTAAGTATGTAAAATACGGTGATGAATACTTACACCGATTAGAATCAATAAACTAGATGTACATTCAGCATAATGGACAACTCTTAAAATTTGTTTAAGTATTGGGTTGCTTATAATGATCAGAACTATAGCATCACACCATATATAAACTAAAAGCCAATGTACAGATTTATTTTAAAAAAATCCATAAGAATATCCAAGCTGTATCCCAAGCACATCAGAATGGGTACTTATAAAAGAGAGAGGACTAGAAATAGGGATCAGGTATGCAAGGGGAAAAAAATAAGACAGGAGAGGGGCCTTGAACTAACCCCTGATGACTATACCACAGTGACTCAACACTCTACATCTGGAGTCTGAGAAAACAGCAAACCAAACCAGATCTGAAAAGAGGGGTGCCTGGGGACTCAGTTGAGTGTCTGCCTTCGGCTCAGGTCATGATCCCAGTGTCCTGGGATCGAGCCCCACGTCGGCCTCCCTGCTCTCCCTCCTTCTCTTGTTCTCTCTTAAATAGATAAAATCTTTTTTTTTTTTTTTAAGATTTTTTTATTTATTTATTTGTCAGAGAGAGAGAGGGAGAGAGAGCAAGCACAGGCAGACAGAATGGCAGGCAGAGGCAGAGGGAGAAGCAGGCTCCCCGATGAGCAAGGAGCCCGATGTGGGACTCGATCCCAGGACGCTGGGATCATGACCTGAGCCGAAGGCAGCTGCTTAACCAACTGAGCCACCCAGGCGTCCCATAGCTACTATATTTTTTATAGGCTGTGACCTATTTATTTCTCTAAGGCTCAGGTTCATCACTTATAAAATGACATACTATTTTTTTTTTTAAGATTTTATTTATTTATTTGTCAGAGAGAGAGAAAGAGAGAGAGCAAGCACAGGCAGACAGAATGGCAGGCAGAGGCAGAGGGAGAAGCAGGCTCCCCGATGAGCAAGGAGCCCGATGTGGGACTCGATCCCAGGACGCTGGGATCATGACCTGAGCCGAAGGCAGCTGCTTAACCAACTGAGCCACCCAGGTGTCCCTTAAATAGATAAAATCTTAAAAAAATAAAAAATTTTTAAAAAAGAAAAAGATATAAAAAGAGACCAAGAAGTTACAGGATGGAGAGTTCTACAGCAACTGTTTTCTCTGCCTCTGACTTTAAGTCCTGAGGAAGCCTAGATGCTGGTCTCCATCAGCTATGCGCATCCCGCAGCCCCGTCACACGGGGTCACACTGACATACTTACAACGTCTATAAAACGAAGAGACTTGAAAGTTGCTCCGGGCAGGCATCCCATCGCAGAGAGACAAGGATAGTGGCCTTCCTCCAACACGTACTGATTCCCGGAGAAATTTTCTCCATCATACGCAACCCAGCTAAAACAGGAAAAACCACACACATGTTCAACATGTACTTTGGATATTCTCTTCAAGAAGTCTGATTCTGAGAGGTGACCTGCTAGAAAGCACAATGCATATGGCTAACTGTTCTTCCCTCAAATATACCTACACTTATTTACTGCTTTCCCTCTTGTTGCACATGGATACTCTTAAGAAGTCAGCTGTTAGTTTTGTATTTGGGAAATATTTTTTTTTCCTCCACGAAATTACTCATGTTTTTCCCTGTGTACCTTCCAGTATTCCTGGAGCCTCTCCTGGGGCGGGGGGGGCCACCATTCCGTAGCCCTGAGTCCTCTCTGAATAATGCTTCAGCTGTCACGGCTAGTCCACACCTGGATCTACAGGTTTCCTCCCCATATTTCTCTCCTTTGTCCTCGTTTCCGGCACCTCCGTAGCGGGCCGTGAGTCGAACTACCACAGTGACTTAGACAAGTCGTTCAGCCCCTGTGGGCCTTGGCATCGTCAGTGACGTGGTGATTTACCAGCTTCCCCAGATGAGCGGGGTTTTTGTTCATTCTTTTAATCCAACAAATGCTTATCCAGCTCATTGTGTGTCAGGTACTTTTCCACTGCTGGCGACAGAAGCGAGGACAAAACACAGTCCCTGCTATCGTAAAGTTGACGCCCTAGTGAGCTGAGATGGACACAAATGAAGAGCTGGGGTGTGCATCTGCTCCTACGAAGTGCAGCAGGACAAGGGCTGAAGGGGAACCGGAACGGAGATGGCGGTATGTGCTGACCCACTGGAATTTTGCTGTAAATCTGTGCGTTCGAATGCAAACCCAGTGCAGGCTCTACTGTGTGGGGCTACGTGACGAGATGGTGGTATTGAGACTACCAATAACTAGGTGATTAATGGCACCATTACTAATATTATTATTATTAGACATAACTCCTCCTCACCTGCACAGGTGGCTCCCAGGGTTTCCCGACCAACTTCCCTTGACTTTGGGCTCCCCTCCTTCTAGAGCTTCCGTCAAACTGTTTTCAGCAAGACACTTCGAGCTCACGGCCTTTCCCTTCTTGTGTTTTCTACGGCATCCGTCTAAACTCGTGTGCTCAGGGGGAGCCTTCACGACCTGGTCCCACCTTCTCTCCCCCCAGCTCTAGGGTGCTGCGCTCCCTGATCCCATACACGCCAGCCCCACTCCAGCCATGTGCTGCCTGACAGAGTGCCTGTCTTACTCCGATCTACCTGGGAAAAAAAAAATCTACCTTGGGAGGCACCTTAGAGATTATCTAGAGTCCCGCTGAGGGTGACAGGACAGGCCGGAGAGTAGAGCACCTGGACTGAATCGCACCCGAGAGCGGCGTGGTGAGCCCATGCCCTCCGACGCCCAGCGCTCGGATGCGGCAAGGTACGGGTTCGTACCGACACGGGCCTGTCCCGTTTGGTGCTTTCGCAGAATGCCAAGGTGTCCCTGAACGCTTGCCGATACATGAATTCTCACCTCTCCGCGATCGGGCTGTGCCGATACGTGAATTCTCACGTCTCCGCGATCGGGCTGTGCCAACCCACCGTTTGACTTACCAACCTCCTAAAACTCTGCAAGACTTGGTGGAAAAGGAATCGTCGATTTGACTGGTTGTTTCTTCAAACCCTCGACTGCGACCTTGAAACTGTGGTTCCGAAAACAACCGAATCTTTGAAAAAGTCAACAGAAAGACGTCCAATTATTCTCCTAAACACATGAACTCGTTCAGCCTTTGAAACGATGCAAACGTGAGCTATTAGCTCCTGTGACAATAAACAGCTAGGAATTTCATAAATCCTTTAATTTTCTACTTCTGCAGTAATGATCAATTAGAAATACTTTGGCTGCTCCCCATTCACGCTGCTCTAATTCAGAGACATCAAAGGCCAGTCCGACAATAGAGGCGGGTTTCTATAGAACACCCTGTCACAACAAGCTGTGAGGCATTTTAAAGCTTTATTGTGGCCAAAAGTAATTGTTCATCAGTTCTAACATTTACAAGAAATTATATTTTGGAAACATAGTATAGTTTTCCTCCCTCTCAATGGGAGATACTTGCTGACTTATTAGAAACTTGTGTATGCCAATAAAGGAGGCTACAGTGGTGTTTGCGCCTCTGTAATTAGGGCTGTCTGAACTCTGAACACGTCCATTAAAAAACCTCAATAAGAAATGTAACACCTCAGTTGCAGTCATTCAAAGGCTTGAGAGGCCATAGAAGAGAGACCATATAAAATATTTGTCTAATGTGGACACAGCAAAGATGAAAATTCATTTTACTGTTTCGAATAACCACATGTGTTGTTTGAGATATTAATCTTAGTGTATTAATGTAAATTGACCCAGCATAATGATATTAAATTCAACTTTCTATCATAAGAGCATTTTATAAGAAATATTTAGATGTGGGTATGTGTTGTCAAGCACGTAAAGGAAACCTAAATCTAATTTTAAAATACAATTATGCTTTCAGGTATAAAAATGGGTGAAACTAACAAAATATCCCAAATGTCTCACATTTTACACATAAGATCAGCTTTTCAGTGGAAGCCCCTAATTATAAAAAAAGAGATTATTTTTTAAGTTACCTGATTTCTTCTCCTTGGGCCAGTTAAAGAATCCTAAAAATTTTTAAAGGGAAGAGAGAAGGAAATGAGTAGAGCAGACATCTCAAAAAAGTTTTTTCTTCCAGATCATTATCAATCACTGTTAAAAATAATTTCAGAATAGTTTCTACAGTGTTACAAATTACATGAACCAGGAGTACACATTAAGGAAATCCAGAATTCAGTTAAATATTCTCATATAAAAGTATTAACTCCTTACCAAACAAATGGGTTGAACAGAAGAGATCTTACAACTTTTGCCTCCCCAGTCTTCAAAACTGGTGTACAAGCCTTTATCCAGTATATACTGCTCTCCTGTGAAGTCAGGATTCTCATAGGCTACCCATCTAAAGAAACAAAAACAATGACTTGTTAGAGTTCACAGTTTACATGTATAATACAACTATCAAACCCACTTAGGAAAATACGTAACATAAGATACTTCCATTTGTTTGAATAATCAGTAGTCTTGATTTTTCTGATTCTCTGTTAGTCTTTTGGGAGACCTGTCTGTATGACAAATCAAAGTGACAAGGGAAAAGTATCTTTACCTGAACCTTTTAGCATTCTCACTTACCAAATCCTATTCCCCAAGAAAGCGGGGTTATTTGTCTGTATTTCTTTCTAATTCTGTTCTAAGGAAATAATCTGGACTTCCAAGAAGTACTTATGACATTCTCTTAGTAAGCAAGCAAGAGTTCTTTTTGTTGTCGACATTAATATTTTTCCAGAAAGATTACAAGAAACTATGTCTCTATTATACAACAAACCACAGTGGGAAAAAAAAGGTGACAGAAGAAATCCTTTTTAATACCGCTAGGGGAGAACAGCGTATACTAAGCTCTAGAGAGGTGACGGACTCCAGTGTACTGGGAAACTACAGAGAAATTGGGCATTCCAGGGGAAAAGGAGACACTGGCAATGGGGGAGAGAATGAAGCTGGAAGGGAGGAAATAGAGGCAGAAGTGTGATCCCTCTTTTACAAATCATAGTAATTTTCCTCTTTTGGTGAAAAACACATTCTTCAGGTTGGCAGGTATACACAGAGAGAGAACTCTCATGCTGTATGCAGGAAATCCAAACCCAGGGAAGTAGTGAACTACCCCTGAGTTTAAATATTCTTTGAAACGATAAGGATGATTAATAATTATGCGACCTTCCTGTTCTGTGTAATCATCTTTATGCATAAACACATCGGTCAAAGTTCAAGAGCTGGATATCTTTATAAATATATTGCTTTCCTTTTTGCAAGGCCATCACAACAGTTCAAGGATTATTTGGGTTATAAGTTTTGTTTCTTATGCAAACCGTTACGATTTTAGCCAAGTTGACTGTAAAACAAAGTTCTCCATATCCCGAGTGGATTTATGTCCATTTGCTTGACAAAAAATTGCTCCAAGTTTACCATTAAAAAACAAACCAACAAACATACCAAAAATGCAGCTAATTAATTAAAATTTTATTGGGGACAGGTTTTCTGACGTGACCTATGTAGAGTAAGCAACACTGAACAAACAGTCAGAAATACTAAACTCTCTCCTGGGATGTTTTCTCTCACCTTTCAAGTGATCTACATTCAGAAGATAATCAACAAAACCAACTTATTGATGTTGCTTCCCAGCCAAAGATAGCCTTTGAAAGTTTTTCGGTTCTGTTATATTCGAAAGATAACTCAGCATTTCCTCCTGAGTTCATTCACTGCCTTACTGATCCGCTCACAGCTGAAAAGACTAACACCATGTGCCTGTATATTTGCTCAGAACTTTCCAAAATGCTTTCGCATCTCTGACCACAGTCAACCTAGGGAGGAGCAGGTTCTCCCATTTTACACAAAGGAAAAGCTAAAGACACAGAAAAGTGAATTCACTGATTCTTCAACAAACACTGACTGGTCATTTATCGTGCGCCAGGAACTAGAGGGCAGTAGGCATGCAAGGTTGGAAGGGACAGTCCCTGCCCTTGAATTTACTGATGGCTGAGAAGTAGCACATGGAATTACTTGCTGGTGTTCTGGCTGGGAAGTGACTTGTTCAGGGTGACACAGAGTGACACCACTGATTAGCTAGTGGCCAAAGATGGCTGGACTCCTGACTGTGTCTCCTGAGACTCCCCACTCTGTGTCATGACCCGAGCTGCCGCTTGTCAAGTCTCCTTTCATTTACTCTTATGTTAAGCCATACTTAAAACAGTCCACACACTGCATAACGAACAGGGTATGATTTTACTGTTGAAAGGGCTGGACTTCAGACAAAATCTCAAATGCAGTCACTATTAGGAAATGAACAGCAATCAAGGATAAAAAGAACACCGCAAAAATCTCCAGCGTCAAGGAGCTTAGGACAGCGAACGTCTGCACGCACCCTTCTGGCCGTCTGAACAGAGTAACTGCTGGCAGGCCAGCCAGTCTGTTTTAGGAAACACTGCTCGCCTACTTCAGAACCTCATCAGCAATTTTTAAAAGCCTATTCTTAAACACTGTGAGGTCAGGAATTAGGAGACTAGTTCCAGCTGTGGTCATGACATTAGTTTCCAGATAACTTTAAAGGGGTCGCTTAATGTTTGCAAAAGGCCGTATTTTCATCATAGGTAAGGGGGTCCGCCAGGATCCCAGCGCTGACATTGCGTGGGGCTGTACAGCGTCTGGGAGCCTCAGGGGACAGCCTTTGGCTTATGAAGAGAAGAGACACTCCAATGGGAGCATGGGATCGTACCGTGTGGGGAGGAGTTTCTGCATGGCCGGAATACTGACAAAAACCAGGACTTAAAAAAAAAAAAGAAAGAAAGAAAGAGAAAAGGAAAAGAAAAAGAGGTTAAGCCATATCATATCAAAGTATTCCTAGCAGTCCCCACATCTGAAACAAGTTAAAGGAAAGCAGAGGGTTCAAAGGCCTTTTTGCTGGATTGACTTCAAGGTTTGGAGGGAAAAAGGCTGTGAATGGGGAGAGATGGACCACAGGAGAGAAGGCAGCTGAGTGAGTCTTCAGGAAGCTTTATCTAGCATGTTTTAAATATATATCTTCATATAACTAACAAGTGAGAATACTCTATTTCCCTATAAAATAAAATAAATCACTTCTAAGGAAACACCCAACACCACATAAACCTAGCTAATTCATGGAGGTTGAAGCAAAAAAAACACTTATTAAGATGTTACTTGAATTGACGGTCATGCTGTTTACCTTTGGAGTTGTAGCCCCGGATGAATCACCCATTAAGAGGAGGGTAAAAATAAAACCCCAAAACTCAGACTTGAGATTCTCCCTTGTATCTATAACTTCTACTTGAGACTTGTAAGAAGAAAATTCCTTACTGTCCTTGCCTCAACATATTCTGTACACGTGAATCAACACTTCCCTGTTTACAAGGCTGGAGGGGGCGGTGGGCTGAGAGCGAGTACATGTACCGGCAGGTCCCAGCCTGGTGGAGTCACTGCTCAGAACTCCCGGGTGGCAGGGCAGACTGGCCCTTCCGTGGCAGAGAAAAGGAAAAAGAAATTAAAATGACGGCACTCTAATTTTCTTAGCTGGACTCCAGACATAATTCCTTTTGTTCTTGGTTTTAAAAAAACGAGCCCAGTTTCCACCATGTGAACAAGGACATAACACAGAACTTGAAATGGCTTAGTAGGAGCTGTGAGAGGGAGTTTCTTCTGATGTTGCGGTAAGAAACGGAATGCAGGGCCCAACGCTTCCGTGGCTGGATTCACGAGCATCCCTCCTGAAGGCTGGGCTCTGTTTTTGAGCTAAAAATGAGTTTACCACCCAGGGAATGTGTTACCCATGTGATAGTGGATCTCCTGGGAGAGAGCCAGAACAGGAATCTCAAAAAAGTTTTCTGAAAAGAGTTTGCGTTCCATACTGAGAAATGAAGACCCAAACTAAAATTCTTATTTGCCAAGAAGAATAAAGTCATTAAAATCACTATTCTTTGAAACTATTAAAAACAAACGGGCCGGACTTCCTCCCTTGTGTTGGCATTCCTCAAGCTATCTACCTCAGGAGGCCCAGGTCCATTGCCACCTCTTCAGCCAAAGTCTTCCCTGCACACAATCTGGAAATCAATCTCTCTCTGCTCAGTATAATCTCTAGGTCTTTTGTAGCTGTGATTATGTTTTATATGGATACTGTGACTTCTGTGAGAACTTAATAGAATGCTTTGCATGTAACAGACCTCAATCAATATTTGCAGATAACCAACTAAATGAACTATGAGGAAGCAGCTGGCCCTGGTGAATACAGAAGCCCTTCCACAACCGCAGAATTTAAAAGGAAGTGGTGTTGGGGGGTGTTGTGTGCACACCTCCCTTCCACTTCCCCCAATACCACAACTCAACTGCTATCACCAGAAAAAAGGCCTAAGCCAGGAAATACAACAGAAATGACTAAAAATAGAAACCTATAAAAGCAACATTTATAAAGTAAGCTAATTTCAAGTAAACAAAGGCTGGGTTTTAAAAAAAAAAAAAAAAAAAGACTGGCTCTGGGCATGATTCTACCTGTGCTAACAGCAAAATCTACAAAAATGCCCTAAGGGAATTCTACCCAGCATCCTTTGCTTCTTCTGCTAGGATGCATGACTGGACTCTGACTAATGGAACCAACACACCTGGTGAGTACCAAAGTGTACAACTGTTTTTCCAGACTGAACTGGTCATTATTTTCCTTGTAAGTAATTAACTTTAAAGGCAATCTAAAATACTAAGAGCCATGGCAACATTTCAGATGACTTCTGCCATGCCATACCTTTTGTCTATGGCAGATTGTAAAATGTTAGGGCATCATAGCAGGACCTGGTAGAAGGCATGTCCTGCTCGAATGACGACCCAGAAGTCCTGGATGTCACCCTGTCAAGATGGCACCACAAGCAACAGCCTACACAAGGATTTGGCGAATGTGACTAATAGTAAAACATTACACTGTAGACACATCTCAGATATCCAGGGATCCTATGGGAGGCTCCACGAAATACGACAGAATTGAGGTTAGAATGATCCAAATAGCCTATGTTACTCATAAAAAGACCTAGCATCCAACACCTTCAACAGAACCCATGTCAAATAATTTCATCTAATTATGTAAGAATACTCTCACTTATAACAAATTCTAACTGACATCAACCTGGATCATAAGGATAATTGTTTAACTTCTTTTAATAGACATGTATTTTGCCCATCCAGTATCTGTCCTCATTTTTTCTGACGGTCCTGGGAAACAACTCACCCCAATCATATATTAAGTGGCTCCTCTGGGAGTGGCCCTACCCTGCTCTGAGACTGCGCACATCACACAGGCACAGTCGTCTTCTCGACTACAGAGATTGGTTCAGGCAGGTACACATGACCCAAGCTGAGAGAATCAAAGTCAAACCTGGAACTCTCGTGGGAAAGAGACGCTCTTTCCGCTGGACACAGTGAGAGGAACAAAAAGCAGATGATGCTGCCACAGGCCACCAGATGTAAGTGGCCTGCCTAAAACAAAGCCAGCATGGGAAAAAAGCCCAGTCAGGAGACAGAGAGCAAGTTCTAATGACAGTGTCTAAACCTGAATCCAGCCACAACTGAAGCAAAAATCTTTTCCAGGACTTTTAAGTTATACAGTCTGATAAACTGCACTTTCGTCCCTTCTAGCAGTTTAGGGGGGCTTGCAGTCATTTATGTATATCCTGAAGAATCTTCACTGATCATCTTCCAATAAAAGCTTACCTTAGCAATAATAGAGCATTCAATTGCTAACTCCAGCTACACTGAAACAGTAATTTTTATGTCAAAATAATAGTGAAGAAATAAAATGGAGCAGATGTAGGGTGTAGGGGCTCTGGGCAGGCCACCCCCAAAATGACTACAATGGTGTATTGATTATTTCAAAGTAAAGTTACTTAAGAAGCAACCTGTGCTAGGGGTGCCTGGGTGGCTCAGTGGGTTAAAGCCTCTGCCTTCAGCTTGGGTCATGATCCCAGGGTCCTGGGATCGAGCCCCGCATTGGGCTCTCTGCTCAGCGGGGAGCCTGCTTCCACCCCCCTCTCTCTCTGCCTGCCTTTGCCTACTTGTGATCTCTGTCAAATAAATAAATAAAATCTTAAAAAAAAAAAGATTTAATTAAAAAAAAAAAGAAAGAAAAGAAACAACCTGTGCTAAAAGGACTCTCAGACCTTCCTCTGCCTTTCAGAAAACAGGAAAAAAATCTCCCATGTGAAAGTCACCCTCCTTGTACCCAGGTGGAAACACAGTCTCATCACCAGAGACAGGGAATTTAGAGCTGAGAAGGCTGTATGAACAAACCCTGTTACTTTTTACTACTTTATTACATTAGCCCAAATTCTGTTTAGAGTTCTAATCAAAGCTTCCAAACAAGTTTTATCCTGTCAATTCCTAACAAATGTATTGTCTCTCTAAAATATATAAAAACTGCCTGCCCTGTTTATTTCTTTGGGTCTCAATTTCATTATCGGACCTCCATGAGCATGTAATTAACTTTGGTGCTTTTTAATATTTTTCTCTTGTTCATCTATCTTATGCCAATTTAATTCTTAGACCAGCTAGAAGAATCTTGATGGGTAGGAGAAAATTCTTCCTCCCCTGCAAGGACATAGGAAAATTGGGACTTTATCCCAACTTCCGTTTTCTAGTATCAGATCATTATTTTTTATTTGATTCCTGTATAAGAAATCCAGGAGATCTTTCCATGCAGAATGATAAGAGAAGTAGATCTGTGGATTTCTATCATGAAACCCCCAAATCTACTGCCTACTGCAATGTGATATTATACATTAAAAAAGACTATATGAGAAAGATCTTAAAAAGCAGTTATGAAAATATGTAGCAGTACCTATTAAATAACTGATTTCATATGTAGTTATTGACATGCTTATTTACTGAGTGCCTATTCTGTGTCAGAGACACTCTCAATTCAACACAATCCAAGGTAAAATTGTTTAAAATCCTGACTGGGTCATTTCACTTACACTCCACTCAGTACATTAATAGACTGTGTCTTCAATCCATATCCGGTCTCCTTTAAGTTAGCAACAATTCCTAATACGTCGATACTGGAACCTTTGGGTCCAAAGTTTTTTTCACTGTACATTATCATATGAGCATTTGAAAAATCCTGTTAAGAAAAAAATTCAAAATTCAAAGGCTAGCCATTTATCGTTCAAAAAAGATCAAGCATTATCTATTAGGCTTTCTTTAACTTACACCTAATATAGGCCGTAAAGACTGAAGTTCTCCATTGTAACCTCCCCAATCTTTCCAGTCCTTGTACTCTCCTTCTTCAAGCAGATACTGATGACCTGTAAACCCAGGCTTCTCATAAGCAACCCAACTGCAACAGAAAGAACATGAAGGAGTAGTAGTTTTCATCAGTGTTAGAAGTGTTCCCATGTATTTATGTGTCATTAACAGACACTAACAGTTATGAAGCTAGACAGAGACTCATGCACTATGACTATTGGAATTCTTCTCTAAAATTTAAGAGACTAATGGAATGGCTCCCTAAAGAACAACATAAGGAATATACATCAATGTTCTGTAAAGGAGTAGAGGGAGTGTGTGTGCGTATATGTGTGTGTGTGTATGTTTAAAAAGAACTGACTCAAAAGAACTTCAGCAGGAGCCCCTGAGTGGCTCAGTCAGTTAAGCATCTGACTCTTGATTTCAACTCAGGTCATGGTCTTAGGGTTTGGGGATCAAGCCCTGCATTGAGCTCTGTGCTCTGTGGGGAGTCTGTTGGAGAGTCTCTCTCTCTCTCTCTCCCCCTTCCCTTGCCCCCCCCCACTCACATGCTCTCTTTCTCTCTCAAATAAATAAGTAAATTAAAAAAAAATAACTTCAGCAAATAAAACTGGATAAACTTTCTTCAGTGACTAATTAAAATTGTTTTGCCTGTTTACAAGACCAATTTCTAATGGAAATATGTAAGATCGATAAAGTGTAAAATATCATAAAAAATAGAAAGTAAACTAATAGTTCAATTGTTTGGAGCATCATATTAATAAACAAGATGTAGATTTGATCAGTGTGGGTCAATTTATTAGTCTTTCTCAGCTGACTGGCCCCAAACCAGCCCTTTGAACCACTGTGTCAAATCTAGGTCCCAGCTGACTGAGAATATATTTGAAATTCACTTTACCAACTATCTGGAATGGTTTTCATTCCACGGTGGTGGAGGTGTGTGTGGGAGGGTGGGGTGGGGAAGACATGTGTATTACTTTACTAAAGGGATAAAAAAGAAACCCCTCCAGTTACTCCCCCCTCTACTCACATTCCTCTCAGCACTTTCATCGAGCCCACGGACGTAAACGGCAAACTGTCATCTGTCTTCTCTTCTGTTTCATCTGCTTCCGTGATAAAACTGCACATTTCTGTTTCTAATTCCATACATTTTCCTTCAAAGAAAGGCTTTTCATAAATAACTACCTATAATAGACCAGAATTGTAACAAGTTAAATGTCTCAACAGCTAAATATTAAATCAGTCATTTAATATGACTTTCTGATCATAGTTTTTAAAATAACTAAATGGCAGTATCATCATTTTAAAACTCTGAATCTTTTTCCTGATGTGGCACAGCCCAAAGCCAGGTTCGAAGGGCAGTTTATAAATAATTGATTTTTAAAAATTGGTTTTGTTCGATGGCTAGAACCGATATTTAGAATTTTGCTTAGGACAAACTAAGGAACCAGAGGATCCTATATTGCTTTAAAAATGAAATACAGGAGTGCCTGACTGGATTCATTGGTAGAAGCATGCAACTCTGAACCTCAGGGTCATGAGTTCAAGCCCCACATTGGGTGTGGAGCCTGCTTAAAAAAAAAAAAAGAAAATAAAATCAATGCGTCATAAATGTACAAAGTAGAAATAGCAGAAAGGGAGAGCTTGTCTTGAGAACTCAGTTTTGTTCCTGGCTAACTGACAAGCAGCAACTGGCCCCGCAATTAGTAACTACAACCACAAATTATAAACCGAATACAACGATGAACCTTCTAAGCCACGGCCACACATACTGGGAGGGATTATTAGTGCCATTAACCTCCTCTTCCAGTCAAAGGATGGCATGTGTCAGTTGGGATGACTTCCTTTAGCTGCAGTTACATTTGCTGATGTGTAAAATCACATTATCTTCATGGGGATGGAATGGGGATAAAATTTTTATTTCTATTTATTTTTATTTATTTTATTTTTTTTAAGATTTTATTTATTTATTTGACAGAGATCATAAGTAGGCAGACAGGCAGGCAGAGAGGGAGAGAGGAGGAAGCAGGCTCCCGCCGAGCAGAAAGCCCGATGCGGGGCTTGATCCCAAGACCCTGAGATCATGACCTGAGCTGAAGGCAGAAGCTTTAAACCACTGAGCCACCCAGGCGCCCCAGGAATAAAATTTTTAAAAAGAAACATTTTTACCTTGGGATCTGTAGGGAATTCAACTTTACGTCCGCCCTGAAAAGAAAAATAATATGGTCAGAAACACAGCTCTTGGTGGAGAGAATCCTGTTTCGGACGACCCACGGCAGCGGGTGGTCAGCGGGCCGACCTCCCAGCCTCTGGTAGAAGTGAGGGGGCGACGGTTCTGACGTCCCAACGATGCGGAAGGAGACTGAGGAAGGCCGTGTGGAGCCCAAGAGGTCTGTAAGCTGGATCTGCGTGGTGGGTTTGTTTTTTAACCCAATAAGCTATGTTTTTTGTTTTTGTTTTTGTTTTCCCATTCAGAAAATGTCTCATGGACATGCATCTCTCTCGTTTCCCTTAAAAAGCAGTCCTAAGTTCAGACAGCCCTGGACACAAGTTCTTGGTGGCAGCCACCCCCGGCGCCGTCCAGCCCCTTGCACGGACTAGCTCTCCACTGGGCTCCCGCTCTCGCCGGGACTTGCGCAGCCTTGGCCGATCTCCACTCCTCTCTCAGTTCAACTCCCTGCCGTCCTCATTCGAGGCTGTTTGCTGCCTGGCCTCTGGAGGCACAGGATTCTGCAACCCAGGGCTTACAACATCTTTGAGTTCACACAAGTTCCCTCTAGGGTCTGGAGGACTCTTGAAATAATTAGATGAGCTGCTGGCTAGAACTTAAACTAGCCCAAAGGATGGGTCTGTGGGGTTGGTTATACTTTTAAAACAAAGTTGTTGTAAATCACCAAAAAACTCACGAAGAAGAAGCCACAGACAAAGCTGTTATTACACCGAAATGATAAACGGGGTAAGAGTTACAATCGGCAGCGGGAAAGTCAGGAGAATATTTTCCACCAATATAGAACGGTTCTTACTTTCTTTTTTTTTAAGTGCAGCCAAAGGTACTCACATGCACCAAATGAACTGTAATTATAAAGGAACGTTGCTGATTTTATCAACAAACCAAAGCTGAACCAACCAAGTGCGGTATCCCCCCATTATCTGCATTTCACTTTCCAGGTTGTTACCCGCGGTCAGTCACAGTCTGGAAGCAGAGGCTCCTCCTCCTGACTCAAGGTCAGAAGGTCAGGGGTAGCCTAACTGCGTCAGGACGCCCACGCCCCTCACCTTGCTTCACCTCGCCGGGCAGGCACTTTACATCTCACTGCATCACAGGAAGGGCCATTAGAGTACAGTAAGATGTTCTGAGAGAGGGACCATGCTCACACGACTTAAACTACAGTACATTGTTTACTTGTTCTATTTTATTATTACTGTTCATCTCTTACTGTGCCTGATTTATAAACTAGGTTATAATAAATGCATAATTTAATTTCTAAATTAAACGTTATCATATATAGGAAAGAGACATAGTATATATAGGGTTTGGTGCCATCCATGATTTCAGGCACCCACTGAGGGTCTTGGAAAATATCCTCTGTGGATGGGGGCAGAGGGGGACTACGTGTACTAAGCACCCATTTCAAAAGTATCTTTTTCCAATGCCCTAAACGTCACAGCTTTGTATATCATTTGAAACAGTCCTCAAAACCTGGGACAATTCTTTCATATATTCACAAAACGAACTGAACTTCGTTCTTTGCAAGTGATTTTTAGAAAAAAATCATTTATAATGAAAAAGTTATTTATAATGCAAATGAGTTTTGCTTGAAGACCAGCAAACACGGTGGGGGGGGGAGGTAATTAACCCACAGGCTTTGGAAGGAGGTAAAGTTAAGATAAAAATTATCTCCATGACTTTCTAATTTGTTTCAAACTGACTCTAGAAAATAGCCACAAAGTGCAATTTCAGAAGCACGACTGTAACAAGAGCCTCCCTCTTGCCACGGGGACTTAGCGAGCACCTGCTACCCTGCGCACACACTGTGCTCCCCACAGGGGACAAGACAGGAGCAACCCACGTCCTCCCAAGGCTTAGAGTTTAGCAGGAGAGACACAGGAATGTGGCAAAAGACAGGGGCACGGTGGAGAGGAAGCAGAGGCAGATGCTGGGGAGGACAATAGTCACACATCCAGTCCCAGGGCTCCTAAAGCTGCCCCCCTCCCCCACAGCTTCTGATTGCCACAGCTGAGCTGGTGCCCACCTGCCCTGGCTTTCCCAGCTCCGCCCAGGTTCATGCAGAATATTCCCTGACATCTCCAACTAGCACAGTGCTGCGTGGTTTTTTTTTTTTTTTTAAAGATTTTATTTATTTATTTGACAGACAGAGTTCACAAGTAGGCAGAGAGGCAGGCAGAGAGAGAGAGAGAGGGAAGCAGACTCCCTGCTGAGCAGAGAGCCCGATGCGGGACTCGATCCCAGGAACCTGAGATCATGACCTGAGCCGAAGGCAGCGGCTTAACCCACTGAGCCACCCAGGCGCCCCTGCTGCGTGGTTTTTAAGACCCAACTTGATTGAGCATGAAGATTTCCTAATCACATCATTCACATCACCTGAAGGTGGACTTTACCCATCTTTCCTGTTTTTCCACCAGGTTTAATTCTTCACTGTCTTCCCTTCCTAAACCCGACGGGGGCTGCAGCTCTGTGCACCGAGTGCGGCTCTACAAGGCTGAAAATGCCTCGAAGGCAGACAACATGGGCTTATCCCCATTTTTTTTTTTTTTCCATCTAGAGCGTCCAACAAGTCACCCCCTTATTTCCTCTAGCAAGAGGTTCCATCTGCTACAGATCTGTGTTTTTACAAGTCTGGTTCTATTGCTTCCAAGTCCCAGCCTGTGAACTATCAACGTCAAACTGACAAAGAATCAGACTCCAAGAACGTTTTGTTAGATTTCATTTTTACCATTTTCAGAGGCCGCATGGATCCAATGTACGCTTCTTCTGTGTCCCAGAAGGACAGGTCGGGGTATTCACCAGGTTCCAGGACAAAAGGCATACCCTGAAATCCAGGTTCTTCATAAATCAGCCACCTAAGTAAGCACCAAGGAAGAAAAGAGAGGGCTCATCATTTATTTCCAGGGCACACAGGACCCCACCGAAAAGAAAGGAAAGGAAGGAGACGATGTGTATCTGGGCCACGTATGGTTACACTCGGATATCAGAGCAACCTTAGATTCAAGGAGAATGTACCATTATATGCTCCTCTTCTTGAGCTTTTACTTGTCGCCTTATGGTTTTGTCCAGTTAATTTTAATTTATATGATGAATTGCTTCAAAGCCTAAATGTCTGTATCACTTCAAGTCAGAGCAGTAGTTACTTTGTAGCGGTCTATGTATTTAGAGAGGCCATAGCCAAGAAACTCAAGCTTTATTTTATTTTTAAAGATTTTATTTATTTGACATAGACACAGGGAGAGAGGGAACACAAGCAGTGGGAGTGGGAGAGGGAGAAGCAGGCTTCCCGCACAGCAGGGAGCCTAATGTGGGTCTCGATCCCAGGACCCTGGGATCATGACCTGAGCCAAAGGCAGATGCTTAACCCACTGAACCACCCAGGCGCCCTCAAGCTTTGTTTTAAAATGTTTTAAAATGGCAACATCTCACTTGTAACCAAAGAATCAGACGTTCCACCTACTTATTTGTCACTGTGCCCAAAACTAGTAACAGGTAGCATCCACCTAGCACTTACAAGGAATGCCACCCGGAAGTTGATCCAGTCCACACAACAGAGCTATGAGGAAGGAACACTACTGTCCCCATTTTACAGATGAAGTTAAGTAAACTGCCCAGGGCCACGCAGCTGTGAGTACCAGATACAGGGCTGATCCAAGCTGATTACAGAGCCAGACTCCTACTCATTTTTTGGGAGCACTTTTTCTTATTCCAAAAGTGCACATAATTTACACTTTTTACAACGACTCAGGATCATCACTGGGAGCATGACAATGCATGGTGGTGTCCTGGGGTCTCTGAAGGGCTGTAAGGCTGCTTGCTCCAGGCCCAAAGCTTTTTGAGTTCTTGGATCTGATTTTTATGGCTTTTCAATACCACACCCTTTTATCAGGCTTGTCAGCTGTCACTTCCGCTGCGGTCAGAGAACAAGCAGCCCCACCCTCCCTTCAGGTGCTGGAAACCAGAAAACCAGAAAACCAGAAAACCATGCCTGTTAGAACGGCCTCGAAATACTGTGCACAGTCTTGTCACTTTCTTAGTTCCCCGGGCGAGTTCTGGGAAGGGGAGGTTGTAGAGATGGGATGTTCACGTAAGGGAGGTACTAGAACAGCCCCTTTATACACAAACACGGAACTCTTGGTGAGCACTTAGCCTCTCCAATTCCTTGTTAGTCTGGCCAAAGAGTCCTAGCTAGGGTATTCCATTATCCCCAGAACACCGTGCCGAGAAGAAGAAGGTGGCCATAAATAAAATCTTTTATCAACAAAATGGGTTTGATTCTCCCTCTTTGCCTTCTTCTTCCCAATTTTGGCCCAAGGCACATTTTTGGGTGATGGGTTTTGTTAAAGATTCCCTTGGATAAGCCAGTAGCTTCTCTGGACTCCTTAATTATACAGGGATTTACAATCAAAATCCTCCTGAAGACCTGTCAACACACACACACACACACACACACACACACACACACACACACAAATGTTGACAGACTGAGTGGTATATGTGTGGGTTAATTCAAAACGAATTAGTCCACATGGTTAGAAGTCAGGGTAACAGTTATGCTGGGGGTAAGAGGATGGCGGGAAGAAGCACAAGTAAGGGGACTTCTGAGATACCGGCTGTCTTCTATTTCTTGATCTCGATGATGTTTATACTTCACAAATTCAGATGATACACTTATGATTTGTTGTGCACTTTTTTGTACAAATATTATCACACACACGTCAGTAAAAAATTAAGGGGAAAAAGGCTTATCTTTTAACAAATAGCACTACCGTGCCCTAAACCACAAGAAAATGAAGGCTAAGAGTGGGGTCCTTTAGACCTCCTTAGGTTTGAGGCATGAGAGTGAGGGATGCATTACCTAGTTCTTGGAGCTCTAAGCTCTCGCAGGCACACCACACCTGGGTTTCACACCCCCAACTAATGGCAGTTCGTCAGAAATGGTGCTACTGGGCTACCGAGCCAAGGGCCGTGGAGTCTGAGTCCTCACAAGTGAATGGGTGGCACTTTCTGTAAACTCAGCACACGGCTCGTAGGCAGGTGCTGGGGAGAACTGAGGGATGGCTGGGCGCAGGACTGCGTTCAGGAGGCCTTCCCTTCTACAGTCTGAGGTGAGGGCATTTATTCATCTGATATGAAACACTTCACTTTTCTCGAAACAGGTGATTTAGTCACGTAACACTTACAGAAGGGAGGTAATCTGGGGCAAAGGGAAATTTGTCAAAAGACTGAACACAAACAGACACCCTGGAAAGGACGGTTCCTCGATGAGCAGGAAGAAAACTCAAACCCACACTTATCAGGGTTGGGTGGACTTTGGAATCTCAAAAGTCATCCACAGAGCATGATTCATTTTTTCCAAGTTCTAGTCCCACAAGATACATTATTCACGAGGCCATCAGGAGAGGGGGAAACTACCTTTAGGCGGTGTTATTTCGGGTTCTAAAAGTCCTCCTATTTTCCCATGTACTTAGGTAATGAGCTCTTACCTACATTATGAATAAACAGTATAACTATAAAGTGTGAGCTTTTTAAAAAAATGATAAAAAATACATATTATTTCAACAACGTCCCTTTGTATGTTTATAATGGCTATCTATATGTTGATTAAAAACATTCTGTCATCATTCTTTTAGAAATGCCTTTTAGCCACACAAGAAACATTGATCTTCTCTTGTTCACTTATCCTCAAACAGCATTTCCAGCTGGACCCTCAGTCTTACTCTCCAGACATGGCTCTGGGGGAGTGCTGGCTATTTACAGAAACCAACTGGATATGCAAAAAAATATGAATATGCCAATTTGAGGTTGCTCTGAAGAGGGCGAGCTATGACTCTCAGAGGGGAAAATGTCCCTTTACAGTGGAGAGTTGTGGGAGGCACCAATTTTTTTTTAAATTTTTTCAGTTTAAATTCAATTAGTCAACATCGAGTACATCATTGGTTTCAGATGTAGTGTTCAAGGATTTGTCAGTTGTGTATGACACTCAGTGCTCATCACAGCACGTGCGGGAGGCCCCAATTTAACCAAGCAACCCAACTCAGTATGGTTAATAGGAAGCTGGGTAGCACATGCTGCCTTTCGTGACACAACGTGATGATGTAGCACTACCCCTATGAAGGATCCTTTCCACACCTGCAGCTGATCGTGTCTCTAGACCTAACCCGTTGCAGACAGAAAATTCAGGCAACACTGGGACAAGTTAAATGATATGAGGAAATGCTCAGAGACAAAACCAGATTGTGGTATTTTCTCTAAGACATTTGACCTAAAATCTTACAGGGACAGAAGTGTAAAATAAAGGTATGGGAAAATCATAAAATTCAAGAGAGTTTATGGGTGTGGAGTCAGGGGGATGGGCCCAGGGCAGGCCACGCTGGGTGCTATTCGCAGTGCTGGTAAAGGTGAGGTCCTAAGTCAGGTGGCAGGCACACAGGGATCTGTCTTAGTACCAGGCTTCATAATTCACACATAACATCTTCTGTATATATCAAATATGTCACAATAAAATTGACAAAGAACATTTGACTATTCAAAACTGCCCCTTGACTTCTAAATTTAAAATTTTAGAAATTCCTAATTTTCCCAAAAAGAATTTGACAAGCAATGCCCTTCTTGTGTGTATGTGTAGAAGAGTTTAACTCCCATTACGTAAGTAGGCCCTGGAATAAATCTAATGGAATCTAGCAGAGTCCCTCACACAGCGAAGACCTCTCAGCTACTGGCTCAGGGGACTGATTTGTCAAAGAAGCAAAATGGACTCAGGTGTTTACTAGCAGTTGAATTCGCCCAACCCATCAAGACTCCCCTCGAAGATCTATAAAAGTACTAATGACCTACTCCCAAAGCCAACCAACCAAGTTCAAGGACCCCAACTTGGAGCTGACATCCAAACCAGCTTTCTATTATCCTCATGGCAACAGAAATGAATGATCATGAAAAAACGGACATTGTGGCAGGTTCGTGACTGGCCCCTGTGAGAGGAGTTAAACTCACTGCAAAGGTAAGAGATGTTACTTAGGTGTAGCTCTTTATGCCTCGACAGAGCCCAAGCCTGAGTCATGAAGCTTTCCAGATATCGAGATGAACATATTATAGCAGATGCCCATCTTATTCTTTTAAAGAAAGTGGTCCTTCTCAATTTAACATTAATATGTTAAGAAATAAAATATATTGATCTGTTTGATGTGGAAAAAAAAACTAAGGGCAGCAGGAGATGAAGCCCTTGTCTTTGTTTAGATTCCTCCTTTCTTTCTCAACCACCAAATATAAACATGCCCAAGGCTCAGATGGCTTCCCTACTCCTTTTGAGATCTGTCCAGCACAGGATTTAAAGACCTTCTCCATGCTGCCTACTCCTGAATTTCCACCTCCAGCTTCCCTCCTGAACTCCAGTCCCCCGTAGCCAGTCATCTTCCTGTCCCCTCACCTGAATGTACAGTTGACCTGTCCAACTCCACCTCTCAAAACTGAACTGTTTTCTCCATCCCAATCAACGCCGGGGTCCCAAGCCCTAGCTATTTCTCAGCCCCTCACCCCTCACATACAGTCTGTCAGCAAACTTGACAGTTTTATCAGGAAAATGTGTCCAGAATCTGACCACCTCTCACCAGCACTGTCTAAGCCACCGCAACCTCTTGCCTATATAACTGCATTGCCTCCTAACTGGTTTCTTTGTTTCCACTCTTGCCTCTTTATAGTCTATTTTCTACAGAGTAACGAGAGTGATTTTTCCAGAGCACAAGTTAGATCAAAATCCTCCTGTGATCCCCCATGTCAGAGTAGTCTAAAATCCCTCCCAAGGCCTGCCACCAGGCCTCTCTGTCATCCCAATCCTCCTAGCTCACTGCCTTCCAGCCACCTTGACCTCCTGGCAGTTCCCCAAACACGCCCAGCAGGGCTTTGCAATTGCTTCCTGCCTGGGACTTGCCCTCTGCCCATCCCCCCTCGGGCATCTTCAGGACTGACTCCCTCACTTCCTCCAGGCCTCCACCTAAAATGTCACCACAGACCTTTCCTGACATCCTATTTAAAATGGCACTACCACTGTTCCTCTCTCTAACTCACATTTCTTGTAGTATTTTCCCTCTGACACATTAACACAGGTATTATCTTATGCACAGCCCACTGACAAAACTTTTGAGCCTTCTCGAATATATGAATATTTATAAAGGATATACACTATCACATAATATATTATGAACTTAACAGAAACCTTGCACAAAAATAAAATCATAAAAGGAGGAGATTTTAAGTGAAATATGAAGAAGCTTCAGCGTTTTTCCTGGCACCCCAGTGGCTGTCTTTTGCTGCGCCGGGCTTGGTACTCCCCTTCAGAGACCACCGTACTCAGGACTGACACCTGCACCTTCTGTCCTAATTTCCCCCATCTCAGATATTCCCACTTCCTTCCAAATACTTTTGCAGTTTCCTGTGATTTCTGAAACCAATGTCCTAGGGGCTCTAGATAGCATTGTGTGAAAATGTTCAAGGAAGGAAAGTACCACGTGTGTTGGCCTCCATCCCCCGTGAGATATCAGGAACACATGCTTTGGATTACCTCCTTTAGATTACCATGAAGGTAAAAGCTGTTACTCAGCTGGGTATGAATCAGGTTCCTCTGTGATAAGGAAATCCCAACATTAAACATGCAGTTTTTTCCTCCCCGGCACTTCCTCCGAGAATGTTATTGTTTCTAAGAGAGCTGAATCATAGGAACTCAGGTACAAAAGAATCAGAATTTTATGTGCCTTATGAGAAAAAAAAAAAAAACACAAAACCCTTTTAGTTAATAGGTACTTAATAGGACACAGATCAGAGTATCTCAAGTCTTTCCAGTAGGACACTCACAAAAAAGCTTCATTAAAATTGTATTTGAGGGCCACCTGGGTGGCTCAGTTGGCTGGGCGTCTGCCTTTGGCTCAGGTCATGATCTGGGGGTTCTGGGATTGAGCCCTGCATTGGGCTCTCTGCTCAGTGGGGAGCCTGCTTCTCACGCTCCCCTTCCTTCTCCCTTTGTGTGCTTCCTCTCTCTCTCATATAAGTAACTAGATTAAAAAAAAAATTGTATTTGAAACAAAATACTTACGTGCCCCAATGTACTTTAATGGAACAAGTCTTCTGCATTATACCAAATCCCTGCATCTCTTCAGTGTCGTCAAAGTAAGAATTCAGGAGTCCTAACCCTTCCCGTTCAGTGAATAAGTCAATCTGACTAACTCTGTAATCCTGAAGAAAGAAAGAAAAAAAAGCACACGTATTTAATAATTACACCATGTACTTAACTGTACAATAAGCTCATTATCCTTTCTTTTCAAATAATTACAACAAATTTTAAATACACCCATACATCTCACAGAGTGCCTGCCATCTACCTCTTCCCCGTTTTCAGTAATGATTTAGGAATATGTGACTTGTGAGTGTTGCTTTAGCCATCGAGTGCGGTATGACATTCAAGCAAAAACCTCCAGAAGTGTATTTCACTAGAGTTCTAGAACATATTTATTTCTCTCATCCTCACTGAAAAAACTGTTTGGCTTTCCTTGGTGACTAGAGTTTGAGTTGCTTCAGTAGACATGGCCATCCAAGTCCAGAGGCTCTCTAGTCCACAGAGGGGCTGCGTTTGGGGCCTTCCTCAACTGCTGTTTTGTGCCTATAAATCCCCTGTGGTAACTCTCCTTAACTGTGGACCAAATCTCTAAGATGTTGGTTTGGTCTAAGTTGTGAGAGTAATGGTACACATCTGTGGTGATTTACAAATCCCTGTACTGTGCTCCGTGTACCATGCTGTGTACCATGCCGTGCTCGTCCTGCCCATCAGACATGTCAAAGGCCTCCGCTGGCTGAGTCCCTACATGTTAGTCAAACACTAATTGAACTTTAATCTTGCTGAGGTAGGTCCACTGAGGTACAGAAGAAATTATACTTAGGTGAGTTCAGGGGAGGCTTTCTTAACCATTACCAAAAGGAACAAATTTAATGAACTAAAAAGGTGCTCCCCTTCAATGTGTTGTGATTTATGTTCATGTTTCAAGCAACCACAAACATAATCGGTTAAAAAAAAAAATCCTAATGTATCCGGAACCAGGAATATATCCTGATCTTTTAATATGACACCTTTCAGAAAACATTCACCCCAGTAAATCAGCAATTTACAAACAATTAATGCACCAAAGTGTTCGTACAATATTATTTAAAATAGTAACAAATCTATAAACAGCCTTAAGTTCCACAGAGAAGGTAAAATAAATGATAGTACATCATTTCTTGGAAACCTCAAACCATGTAGTGACATGAAAAGCATGAATTGCATTAAGATAGGTATTATTTTAAAAAAAAATGGCTATTATCAGGCAAAACAGGAGACCCCTCTTTACCAACATGCTTCATTTCCCTTACCCTCCCCTCCCCAAGTGCCTTTAAATCCCCACCCACTGGAATCGGATACAGTTACACATCACTAAGAGATGTTAGCCAAAGGGAGTGTGATCTTCAGGGAAATGGGTATGGAGAAAGAAAAAGGATTGAGAACTACAGGTTTTTTGGTTTTTTCTTTGTTTGTTTTTTGTCTTGTTTTGTTTTTTTCCTTAAGTGGTAGAGCCCAGTGTGGGGCTTGAACTCACAACCCTGAGATTATCATGATTATCACAATCATCATGATTACAACTACAGAAAAGGCAGATGGAAATACGGCCAAGACAGAGCAGAGAATTCAGAAAATTTAAGAGAGGATATCTCAGGATAGCAGATTGGGATGATGGGCTTAAACACCGCTTTATTACCAATATTAGTTGAGCAATAAATAAAGAGTGCAGGGAAATTAGACCACTGACTATGACAATTTTAAATGGTGTTCCTCATGTCTTCTGTAAGGTTTATCGCATTATGTACTTAAAACTATTAAAAGATAAATCATTTAGAATACCAATGATCACTGAAGTCACTCAGAAATGTTGACTTAAGAATCAAGTGGCATTTTCCTCTGCCAAAAACTGTTACTCATTCTTACTCACTCTCATTTCATAACATTCCTTCTCTTCCTATTACACTCAAACACCCATCTCTGTTACACGAGTGGGGTTTTAATCTTCCACTTGGAAGATACGATTAACTACATTTTTGAAGGTAAAGAAGCATCAAATCCCAACAGGTACAAAGAAAGACAACTTCCTCATCAACAAATAAGGAACCAAGACATTTTAGCCAATCCTTAAAGTGACCTCAAGTACCTACTGTTTTTAAACCCACATGGAACCCCAGAGTTGAACTTTCAACTGGATTTTGGGGGGATTATTTTTCCAAAATAGAATTCCTATAAGCCACTCAAGGTATTCAGAACTCACACAGCAACCAAAAAACAAAGTAAAAGAAAAATCTGTTCATATAGAATTCATCCAAACCAGGTTAATAAGTAAAATACATTTTTGGAGATGGGGATGGGGGACAGGAGTGAGAAATTAACCTTCAAAATTTATTATGGAAAAAAAAGACAAATCAGAGTGTTTCTTTTCTAATTCAAGTGTACGAACACTGAAGTTATAGAAAATATATTCATAGAGCACCAATCGAACATTTTCCCCCAATCTCTTATTTCAGAACATAAACTTTTCTCTCAAAGAAAGAATCATCCCCGGCATTCAATAAATACTTGCTGACTGAATCATTAGACTCTGGTTTTCCCATAACCTACCTGGACCACATGTCTGATTGAACCAATCACCACCGGCTTAGTGGACTCTGCCTCCTCATTTCTTTCCAAAACATCTTCTAAACCCCAGAGACCAGAGAGTTCCAATTCTCCTTCTTCTAAGGGGATGGTGTGCCCTTCGAAATTAGGTTTCTCATACAGAATCCAACTAAGAGTAAAACACAGCAAAACTATTAGGTGTTGGTAAGAAAGGTTTTGATGACTCAAATATTCTAGCTAATGGCCTCCCCCCACACCGTCCCCTTCTTCCCTTTCCTTCTCCCTTCTCTTCTCCCTTTTTCTCTCTCACATATTGTGGCCAATTATCATATATACACTGGTCAATTATCCAGCAATTAAAATATATAAACTCTCTCTAAAACTAAATTTACTGGGCATAATTAAGCCTCTGAAAATCCAAAAACTATATCAGAATCTTAAAGAACTTTTGGCATCAATATGAACATTGCAGAGTCACTGATGTTCTATGGAACAGTCAGTTTGTGAACAGTTACAAATGGTAATACATTGGATAAATGGACTTTTCCTAGAATTCTTTTTTCTCCCTATATGTGTAGAAAACACTTCTAGAGGGATTTTACTTACATTCCAGTACTGTATCAATGGATATATTGATACAAAATATTGATATCAAAAAAAGCCCCTATATGCATGTTAACAGAGAGCATTTTAAAAATACCCTTCTCGACAACAAACATCCAAACACTAAAGAAAATCTAATGTCAATATATGACAGTGCTGCTCTTAGATGCTTATGCTTTCAAGAGAGAAGCCAACAAAAGTTGGAAAAAAAAAAAAAGAACACTGGGGTGCCTGGGTGGCTTAGTCAGTTAAACATCTGCCTTGGGCTCAGGTCATGATCCTGGGCTTCTGGGATCGAGTCCCACATATGGCTCCCTGCTCAACAGGAAGCCTGCTTCTCCCTCCCCCTCTGCTGCTTCTCCCTCTCCCTCTGCTGCTTCTCCTGCTTGCTCTCTTCTCTCCCTCTCTTTCTCTAATAAACAAATAAAATCTTAAAAAAAAAAAGAGCACTATTATATTAAAAACAAAATTTATATAATATTTGTTTTCAGTGTTATTTTTGGTCTTTAAATGTAAGAACAAAAGCTAATTATATTTTTGTGATGAACATGTTAAATACATAGAAAAATGTTATAATATGTAAAACCTAACAGGAAAGATGCCACATGTATAATCAAATGGAAAAGACAAAAACAACAATAAAAAGCCTTACTAGTTTTTTAAACCACAAATGTCTAAAGCCCAGCCTTCTTTATCTCAAACAAGATCCGTATCAAAGATAAGTGCTTATGCCAGATAAGTGATTTTTTAAAAATGGCTTTTCTTAATTCAACTTCCTTTGTATTTCCTAGAAGCTGTCAAGCTGGTAAATCATTTTTTCACCAGTTTCTTTAATCAAAACCATCAGTTGCTGAGAGGCTGGAAAATAAATTTTAGGTTAGTCATTCACAATGTCTTTTCTCATAGAACTTTGAAAATTCTACCAACAGGATTAGCGCAATTCTTCCCAACCTCACTGAAAATTCATAAAGCAAAAGTGTTCGTGGGGACTCAGAGTTCTGGTAGTCCTGGCCAGTGTGATGTGGGGTATATGGGAGAAGAAAATTGTACTGCCGCACACACCTGACTTTTCTAGCATTAATGGTCATCTCCTCTATAAAGCAGAAACATGGTTCAAAAATGTAATTTCTTAGACATGAATTTCTTGCAACACCCCCTAAGACTAGTATTTTCTGCCCTTTACATTACTGAAGGCATAATTTTAAATAAGTACTGAAGACCAAAAAGGTAACTAGAAATGTGAAACACAAACCCTCTAAAAGTCTGGAACCCAAAGCACCGGTCTTACCATCCTCTGACGACCTTGACGATGACCACCGGGGAGAGGCTCCAAGAGCTGCAATCCTCAACATCACTGAAAACTTCAATGCACTCGTCAGAGACATCCGGGTCCCTGAAGATCACTACCTACAAGAAAATGAAAGTGGCAGCACACGGTTGGACATTATCAGACCAAAATAAAATCCTGACTAGAAACACAGCATCCATCATCTTACCTTTCCAGGCCGGGGATTGATTTTATTTGTAAGACTTCCTCTGAGGGTCTGTAATCAGATGAACAAAAACACAACAAATTAAACTTTGTGTAATACTCTGCAGAGTTTCTCTGCCCACGATCTATTTATTTGCCTCAAAATTCATCGATTTTGAGACAATCCACCTTGATCTGTGCCAAAGCTATATTAAAGCTCTCTCTGAGTCCACACTGTTAAATTAAGAGCAGTTTTTCTCCTCTAGCTAAATGTGCTATTTCAATTTCTCCTCATTTATTTGTTTGTTTCTTTTTAGAGAGACAGGGAGGGAGGGAGGAGGAGAGAGAGAGAGAGAGAGCGGGTGGAGGGGCAGAGGAGGAGGGAGACTCTTAAGCAGGCTCCACACCCAGCTAGGAGCCTGATGCATGGCCTGATCCCACAACCTGACCCCAAATCAAGAGTCAGACAAACAACTGAGCCAGCAAGGAGCTCCTCAGTTTTTCCTCATTTTCCACCAATCTAGAAAATTCAAGGCCCAAGAGTCAGACCTATGTTTTACATCAGCACACAGAATAAGAATTCAGCTAAGAAATTATAATTCAGGGGTACCTGGGTCACTCAGTTGGTTAAGCAACTGCCTTCGACTCAGGTCATGATTCTGGAGTCCTGGGATCCAGTCCTGCATTGGGCTCCCTGCTCAGCATAGAGTCTGCTTCTCCCTCTGACCCTCTCCCTTCTCATGCTCTCTCTCTCTCAAATAAATAAAATCTTTAAAAAAAATTATAATTCAATCTCTGTATAATATCAAATACAGAGAAATTATAAAGTATTAATCATGTTATGTGATCATACACACAGCTTATCTGAATCTATAAATATTGTCTTGTATCAACTTACCATCATATCACAAGTATTAGTCTAAATAAAAGGGAGCTCGTGGTATGTATCACAATGTATATCGCACATAATATCGTTAATCCTCCCTTTTTGAAGGACAAAACACGTTTCTCTATAGTTCCAAAACTAATCATTTTCAAGAACATCTGACAAGACCAGTAAAACCAGAAATGCATAACATAATAAAAATAGTAATTATACATGAAAAAATATACAATACAGACTACTTTTAATGCTGACCAGGAGGCTTATTCTAAGGACTGCTTTTAACCTGATCACTCTTGCACCAGGCCATAGTAGAGTATGCCAAAGACGACAGGAAGGCCTCAGTAGAACACTATTAAAAATCAAAATGGCATTTACTTATTTATATATACACATTGGAAGTGAAATAAGCTGAAGAAAAGGCCATAAATTTAAAACAAAATACACATTAAGACAATAAAGACAGAATGGTCATAGAGTAAACAAAGCCCAAGACCTATGGAAAAACAAAAAATGAAATTTTTAAACCATAAAAACACTTAGAAAAAGTATGAAAATACTTTGTTTCTTCTTTTTACTCCATTTGGTTTGATTTTTCAAGAGATTCCATATGGAAGCTGTATATTCTGTTGTTAGACTCATCAAACTGCTATCAGATAAGAGAAGTGATCTAAGAATGAGTAAAAAGAGAAAAGAAGGCTGTAATGAATGGAAAGTAGGCCAGTGGAAATTCTGTGCTTAAGAGAAATACCTAAAAATCTTCTGATTTCTGAGTGGTACAGGCTGATTCAGGTTTGTTTGTTTACCACAGTGGTTCTTAAAGTGTGGTTCTGGGGCCCTTGGAAGATCCCCAAGAACCTTTCAGGAAGTCAATGAGGTCAAAACTCTTCTCATACAAAGAGGGTATTTTCCCTTTTCAGTCTCTTTCTCTCGCAGGAGTGCAGTGGAATGTTCCAGAGAGCCCAGGCTGTGTGATGACACCACCGTTCTGATGGTTAACAGAGGGTGTCCTTATGTGTTCTCAGGCTTTACCTTTTTTTTACTGTTAGCTTCTATTACAATCAATTCCAGCAGGCATAACTCATGTGAACAAAAGCTCTTTGGGGACCTCAATAATCTTTAAATATAAAGGTGTCCTGAGACCCAAAAAAGTTTGAACATTTTTGAAAAGGGGATCTGAACTTCCTCTGGACACCCAACCATACGTTTCGAAAGAGCTTCCAAAATGGTATTCTATGCTAGGCTTGAGCCAAAGCCCACACAACAAATGGAAACACGCTACAGTGCCCATTCAAATGAAGAAGAGGGCACGGTATCTTCTGGCAGATTATGCTGTGAGTCAAGACGGTCTACACTGGCCAGACAGCCTAGTTCACAACGTGGGCAACAGGAATACAGAGGCCCACTCCTGTTTCAGGACCAGCAGAGCTACGCTCTAGAACTTATACTCTGCCTGCCTCATATATCATCCTCCCTCCCCTTGAGCATCATGCTTGGTAACAGAAAGACACGCAATTCATACCAAAAACTCAGTAGAGAAAACAACTTCTGGAATTCGGATGAAAGAGGATGGAGAAATCATAACTGTTCCTCAAAGTCCTATTTTGCTGCCCTCTCTACAATATTAAAGGAAGGAGCCAATGTAGACCAAAATTCTTTGCCCCAACAGCTTGGTAGGAAAAACAGTTTCCCTGATGAAAATTCCAAGTAAAGAGAAATGATTTCCTGAATTACATGGGATAATCATCTAATGTTACTTATAGAAAGAAAGAGTGAATCTTAACATCACAAGAGAAGGGTTAGGAGTAAGATTTCTTGGTGGGGCTTTTCTGAATAAATGAAGAAGCTTTACAGATCTTCAAAATTCTAAGCAAAGCACTGAGCATTTTGACACAGAACTAGATAAGAAAAAACAACTCGTCTGTCTCTGAACTCTCAAGGTAACTAACCTACACCTTTCAGAATACAACATATAAATTCATAAGCCTTAAAATATGTATAGCTTGTTTTCCCTGCTAGAGCACTAATGCCTCGAAGACAGAAATCTTAGTACCTTTCTTCTTAGCCGCTACCAATACTTTATATACATTGTAGGTTTTCATGTGATGAATGAATAGAAAGCTATCATTCACATGCACAACCACTTAAAAGAACATGAGTTGCTCATCACCCCTCTCTCCTCTCATTTTATAAATACCCCCCATAAATGGTAAAATATGTTGCTACTTACGGTCGTATCTGATAAGGACATGGCAGAAAAAGACACGCTGGGGTCAAACCGGCTGGATTTGAAAAGACCCGTGAAGTCTGCATCACTATTTCCATAGTTTGGCAAGTTGGGCTTAAGAACGCTTCCGACACGATTAGCCTTTTCCGGATCATCACTGTTCTTCAGTTTAGAAAATTCTGAAAGCTGGGTTTCTGGCAAGTGTGGGTTGCTTCGTGAATCCAGGTCTTCTTTGGTTTCCTCTTTGGGCAGGTATCTCTCCATGTAGCTTGTGCTTTTCAAGCCCGAAGGAGCCGCATCTGTAGCGTCGAAATTGAAGACCTTTCCGTTGCTGGGGGGAAGGTTTGGCTGCTCTCGGTCTGCACCGCAGGGGGGGCCCCCCTCCACCCTGGGCGGTAATGCGGAAGCCCGAGAAAGAGAAGTGTTGTGAGGCGTGCCGAAAGACGTGGTCATGGTACTGACCGACGTCACAGAGGGAGAAAAGATCTTGTCTTGCGGTGAAGTAGGCAGCAGGCTGGAGAAGAGTGCGCTCTTCTCTAGCCTCGATCTCTTAATTCCGCCATTGGGGACATCTTTGTTCTCTTTGTGGTTTGTCTCCGGAGCCGTGGAAGGGTCGTCTTTCCCGTTAGTGTACAGGGACTTGAAGAGGATACTCTGCTCGGTAGATGTGCGTTTGGGCCTCAGGTTGGGTTTTGTGTAAAGGTTCTGCATCAGATGTAAAGCCGGCGACATTTCTGGCCGGCTTTCCTTCTTCTTCCCCAGACCAAAGGTAAACACGTTGGGATCTAACACTTTTTCTAAATTGTCCTCATGAATCGGAGGCATCACAAAGGGAGGGGCAGGCGAATTGGGCACCCTGGCCTTCTTTTTCTTCTGAGGCACACAGACGGTGCTGTCCATGTTTTTGATAATTTCGGTGAATTTTTCCATATCCGATGAAGAATCAAATACACTGTCATCACTGCCCGCAGATATGTTCAGAAGACTGGCAGGGCTGGCCTGGCCATTCACAGCCTTTCCATCCGGCCTTTGGGGAGTTTCTAGAGGGTTTCTGCTCCCAGGGGAGGCAACAGGGCCGGGTTCAGCCTTCGGGGGTTTTTGGTCACCCTGACTTTGAGCCTGGATAGGCTGAGTTTTCTCTGATTCTGGTGGCATGACTTGTGGGACAGATTTTGCTGCTTGTTCCTCTTTGCAATGAATGTGTTCGGGAGATGTGCTCTCGCCGCCCAGCCCTTCTGCTTTCTGGGGAGCACAGCTTGCAACAGAAACCACTTCAAGGTCATCGTTGTGACAGCTTGGCAACTGTGCTTCTCTAACTTCGGAGCTCTCTGAGATGACCTGGGAGCCCACATCCTGGGTGCTCTCCACGGGGAGCACGAAGGACCGGACCTGGACCAGCACCTTGGATGGACGTTCGGTTCCCACAGCTTCCGGGCTGTGCTCTGCACACGGAGCAAGGCTTGCGGCCCCTTCTTCTCCTCCCCCTGCAAGTCTGGAGGGCAGCACTCTCTCCTCATTCTTATGTGACACAGGCAGAACACGTCCGTGATGGTTTTCTGACACTTCTACATGGGTGCATGGAACGCTGCTTCCGGGAGCTTGAACACATACATCTCCGGATGCGGGCTGTGAGCAAGAAGGCCCGTTAGATGACTCAGCTGGGGGCTGTGAGTCAGAAAATGTATCCTGTGGCTTTGGTCTGGCTGTTGGAGGGGAATCTTTGGTACCAAGAACAGCGGGAATGTCCTGAGCCAGATCAGTCATAGTTTCGAGGGCAAGACTTGTGCTGTCTGCAGCCATTGAGTGACCCTCTCCTAAGGGCTTGTGGTCCGTGGCAGGAATCAGGGCAGTAACCACCACTTTGGAAGGGCAGCCTGCATCTATCTGCACTTCTGCTCTATCACCCTGGGTAAGCGGAGCACCGAGAGCTTGACCCTCGGTAGGCTCGCCCTCCGTCCCTCCTGCGCTGGGGCTCCCGGTGGCTGGTGGGATCTCCTCTTCCGTAACTTTGGGTTCTGGAGAGCTCTCCTTCGCCAGCATACCATTCTGGTGACTATTTGCTGTGCCTTTCTTTTCAGACTGCTCCATCTCTTTGGCTTTTTTGGCTAAATTCAGCTTTGCCCTCCCGACAAAGGTCTTATTGCAGGCAGGAGAGTTCCTTGTGCTGCGAATGTCAACATATTTTGGGCTACTGGTGGCCCGTTTGTTTTCGAATAAGGAGATCTTGTTGGCAGTGTTTCCTTTATGGACTGGCTGGCTAAATGGATTATGCTCATTTCCCAAACTGTCAGGATTCTTGGGAGTTTTAAGATTTAGTTCCACATGTTTGGGCTTGGCCGGACTGCAAAAATAGAGCAGTGAGATAAAGTTATTGACCTAGTTTTAAAAAGTGAACATACCAATTCATTACAAAACGCTTATTACTATGAAAAGCCAACAGCCTTCTGTTAAGTAACATTTTTTTTTATGAGACTATTTAAAAGCCATTCTAAATACACTTTCAACTGTTTTTAGTGGATGGTTCGCTTCTGTATGATAGATGAGAAAATTATATAGCCAAGAAAATCAAGAGATGGGAGGTTAGCAAACTTATCAAGTCCCTAATTAATGTGAGCACAGTGCTCAACCACTAGTATTAGAAGACATCTTAGGGCTTGAAGAACATTAGACTGAATTTATATATTTAATGTACTCCCTTATTTTAAATATGTAAATGATCTCCCCAAACATCAATTGTGTATTTTTATAATTTTAAATATTATTTCAAAAGGCTAGACTTAAAAAATATTTATCTGTTATTTACCTCTTTGGATATTTCATCCCCTTCATCTTCCTTTATGTAACTTTACTCTGATTATGTAAGTGTCTTCACTACAGAACATTTGGAAATTATAAAAATGAAGAATCACTCATACTCCTATGACTCAGATAATCTCCCCGTTAATAGTTTAGTATAATTCAGTCTTCTTGTGTGCATAGTAAAGTACTTTAAACAGAATAGGAATTATTCTGTTCACAGAGTTTCAGATCTTGTCTTTAAAAAAAAAGATTACTTAATCTTATATTTCATATTTTTCACATTTTCAAGTTACTAAAATTTGAAGTTTTTCATAAGTTCTGCATAAAATTTGAAGTTTTTCATAAGTTCTGCATAAAATTTTCATCGTATAGATGTACCACAATTTACTTATCAGTTGCTCAATTGTTGGTTTTGTCACCTTTTGGGGGGCAAAGGGAGTCTCCCCTCACTCTAGAGAGAAACTCTAATGTTTCTTGGTTATTACTCCCGATGGAAATCATAAATCTTTGAATGTATTTACTGTTCTCTTTCTGAGAAACAAAATGTTCTCTGTATGACATTCACCAGCCCTGGTCCTTACACTGATTATCTATGTGAGCTTGGTCAGGTTAACTCACTGGACTTGCTACCTTCTCTACCTGGAAAAACAAAGTAGATAATTTAGAATAGAGCTGGTCCTCTCCCCACCGCCCACCTTCCCCAAGGAATGGCTGAAGCAATTCTTGGGATTCTCTTCAGCTGCACTGGGGACAACAGAGACAGAGGGTTGGATCTGGGGCCAGCCACCCTCCTTTTAAGCAGAAGCACTTCTAGTTCTCTGTTTCATATATCACTTTTATATAAGCCTTCCCAGAAGAATGGGCTCCAAGGCTAAACACAAAAAAATGTCTAAACCATAGGCCTAGTGGTTTCTGAAATGAAGAGATAATAACCACTAACAATCACAGATTGACACACGCTTGACAAATACTCCGTATGTCTAATGTACTATTTTATATGTTCTCGTTTAAGAGGAGGAAGCTGAAGCCTAGAAAAGGCAGGTAATTTGCCAGAAGTCATACACCCAGTGAGTGACAGGGCCAGGGTTTGAAACCAGGTGTCCTGGTTTCAGAGGCTTTGCTCCTGACTGCTCCTGTGTCCCCAGGATGTTCACTTACCAGTAAATACACCTTTTAAAAATTCTCACTAATCAGCTCAAGAAACAAACATCAAAGTATATCTTGCGATGTAAATGGAAAACACCAAAGGTTAGCCAATAACCTACCTTAAGGACAGGAAACACATCTGCACATTAAAGATTTACCCCAAGATCAAAATATATTTTACAACCAAACTTTCTGTGCTATTAAGTTCTGCTACCAAGAGTCACTACAATTAACCTAGCTCAAACTGATTAAAAGGAAGGCTTCTATAATTCATGTTTAATACCTTTATTATAATGTGAGAGGGGAAAATAATCTGGTGTCTAAAAAGCCATGGCTAGGAGAGGAAAATTCTCCTTATTCTAACCATACCATTGTTAAGAATCTCAACATTCAATCCTTGGTACAGAACTGAAGACATAATTTTTCTAACAGCATCAAGAAACTCTCTGCTATATAGTCCTTTTTCAGGGAATATAACATAAGTTTAACTAAAACATCAGATGCAAATTATTTTTTAAAAATCATCTGATAATATTTTTTCTTGAAATATAATCAGAGGGGGAAAAACTGGGAAAAAAATCCATCAAACAGAAAAAAGCTAGAAGGAATTGATTTCCCATTTCAGCAGTTGGCCAATTCACCAAGCTCGAGGCCCTGTGGAAAACACAATTAAGCTAAATGCCTTGCTAAGGGAAAATTTTAGGTAGGAAATAATCGGCACAGAGAAGAAGACATTTGATTTAGTTCTTGGGCACAAAACGGCACATGAAGAGTTTCATTATAAGAATCGCTTCCCAAGTTTGTTTACCCTCCTCCTTGCAACATTTCTGGTTTTTCCACTGGCATGCTCCGCTTGGAAGGCAGGGAAGGCGTCCTCTTAATGCTCCACAGCAACGTTTCTCTAAGCTCACACTCGAGGTCTGAATGTTCAGTCACACTGGCCTTCTTCAAATAATGGGCATCATTCACTCTGGTTTCTTCTCTGACACTGCCGTTGCAGAATAAATAGGTGACTTTATCAAAGGTCTCCAGGTTGGCAGCTGGGGCGGTAGCTCACATTACTCATTAAGCAGGTTCTCCCTCGAGTGTTTACCAGGCCTCCTACTCTAAAGCTTACTTACCCAAGAACTCAAATGGGATGAAACCATTCGGTTTAAGAATCAAAATGCTGGGAAAATACCGGCTCTTTTAATAAATGCGCAAATGTAGGAAAAACTCGGGCAGTTTTGAAAGTCCTTTTGCATGGGGGCTAGCTGGGAGGTGGGGGGATGAGAGTATGGGAAGGGGAGAGGATCTTGAGTTTTACAGAGAGCCCTCCCTACCCCATCCTCCTATACACACCGCATTCAGCATCAAGGCAGAAGCCTCAAGGCAGAAGCCCAGCTCCAAAAAGCCAACAGCGATTTCTCCTGCTTTGCACTTCCCAGACTTTACAGCTGATAACCCACTCAGGAGTTCCCTCAGCCATCACCTCAGACGGTTCGGTTCGTTCTCTTCCTTTTGCAAGCTAGAGTGGGCCATAAACTTCTCAAGGGCAATATACTGAGTCATAGTCTGAGTTTTCCCGCATAGTTCCTGGCACAACACCATGCACAAAAGTCACTCAGTAAATATTGGGGGGGGGGGAATCAGTGAACTTAACAGCAGGTAGTTAGTCAGTTGCTGAGCTTGATTCTTCCAATGTTCTTTCATGGAACAAAGTCCCCCAGTAAGAACACTGCTCTCTCTTCATTTCAGTAACTAAAGAATTCCTTTTCAACCTGGGGGCAAACATGTCACTAACCTCCCAAACATTCGAAGGAGGGGAATTAGAAAACAATCTTTAAGCTGCCCTAAGTTCCAGAAAAAGTTCTGTGAATTCTCTAAAACTCACCCATGTCAAAACTACTACTGGGTCAGACTGAAATTAAGCGGTTTTGCTCCATGTTTTCAAATTCACTGCATAGGTGTTTCCAGAATGCCCTCTCCAGGAATGCTGGTGTTTTAAGTTTTGAATAAAGGATTAGCTCAAGTCAGGCCAGTCGGTCTTCTTTCAATGGCTGATGTAAACACAGAGCCCCAAGAGATTGTTACATTCTTTCAACTTAAACATTCTATCAGAACAGCAATTCACGTGGCGGCCTCCCGAAGTGTCATCTCCAGCTGTGCTAACCAGCCCTTCACTACCTCCGTTTCAACACAGAGGGGAAACTCGGTGCCACAGATGCAAAGACCCTGGAGCTCCCCAGAAATACCACCCAGAACGTCTGCGGACACCCACAGCGCGCTCAGGCCCCGGTCCGCGGCTACTTACAGGGTCACTTTAGTGGTCACCGTCGACCTGCCCACCCCGAAATGGTGCCTGGGCTTCAAGCCGTCCGCGTCCGACCCACCGGCCGATCTGCCCGGCTCTTTGCTTCGACTTCCTTCTCCCCGGCTGTCTAAGTGGTTGGGGAACGGGCCCCTCTTGTGCTCGGGCTTGATCTCCGGCAGCAGCGAGCTGCTCTTGACGGTGAGCTCGCGGGGGATGACCCGGGCCGCCTCCTCTCCGTTGTCCCCCGCGGCGCCCTTGGCGGCGGGATCCGGCGCTGGCGCCCTCTTCGGGGGGGACTCCTTGGCGGGAGCCCGAGGGCCGCCGGCCGGCGAGGTGGGCGCGGCCTCGGGGACCCGGCTCTTGCCCCTCCTCTTGGTGGGGGACGAGGCGGGCGGCGGCTGTTTGCCCCGCTCGGACTCCCCGCGGAGCGGTCCCCTGGGCCCGGGGCTGGACTTGGACTCGGCGCCCGCTGCGGAGGCAACGCCCCCGTCGGGGGCCGCCCGCGGAGATTTCACTTTCTTTTCCGCGGAGCCGTTCTCCGTGGCCGCGTTTGGCGCCACCTCGTAGTCGAACACCGCGTCGTCTCTGCCCGCGCTGTCCGGCAGCGCCGTGTCCGGCCCGGGGGAGTCGGTGGACTTCTGCGACCTTCTCCGCCTGCCCGACCTGCGGCCGCCCGACCTCTTCTCCATGTCGTCAGAATCGCCGCAATCTTCTGCCCCCGGAGGAATCGCGCCCGGCTCGTCCCCCTGGGCCGCCTCAGTCTTGCTCAAGTAGATGTCCAACGTTAACACGGTGGCGGGGTGGGCGCCGGGCCGGCACTGTCGCCCTCGGGGTCCCTCTTGGCCGTCTGCCTGCGCCGCGTCCGAACAGTTCCCCTCGTGCTCGGCCGGAGGGTCCCCTGGCGGAGCCCACGCGTCCTCG